ATTTCCTCTTTCACAAGAAATTCGATGACAGCACGCTGGCAAAACGACATATCATTGTTGGCCATTTTGTTAGGAGTGATGCTGGTCATGTAATGCAAGCTATTGATGTCACAAGACACTCAAGGTTAACACAACAGCTGGTTCCACCTACCACCATACTCTCTTTCGTCTGCTGTTCCCAGGTTGCATGCAAAAAAAGTTGCTCATGACTTTCGGTACGACCTACGTATTTATGTATTAGCCTGTGTATTTTAGTGCTGATACACATGGAGGGCAAACTTAAATCTGAAATATAAGTACAGCATTAATTTTTAGCCTCTTTTCAATATTTTAGGAAGGATAGTATGCTTATGGTATCTTCAAACGTGAGTAATTTTTAAGTTTTGAATTAGTTCAAAAAACTTGGTAAGAATGATATGTTATCTTCAGACTCTGTATAATTCATTAGCATCAGTAGTACCAACATTATGAAACCAGCCTCTGAAGTCGAGTTTCATTACCAATAAACTTTTGTGCTAGATATTTGAAGAAGTTGGGATCTTTCCTTTTTGTGCATAAAGTGTAAATAGAAATGTTTTGTATAAATAGGAGTATCTAGGCATACTAATGATACCTTGTGTTCTGTGTGAGGGTCCTATTCTATAGCACACATACACACACAACTTCATAGACTAAACTAATCTAAACTATGGCATGTTAAAGAAAATGTGGCACATCTGTTACGTGTGACACTAAGTAACAATGCATTTTATAAGAACAGCAGCAAAAGTGTTGAAGTATTGATAGTTTTACAAAATAAATCATAAACATATCTTGAATACGGGAGGGTAGAGAGGCATGCAGACAACATAATAGAGCATTTTACTGAAACCTGTAATGTAGTTTCATGTAATGTGGGCAAAACACACAAAAGGTGTTGTACAAGAGTGCAGGGCCTTCATTAATACATTAACATGTTCTTAGTAGTTTTCTTTTAAATTAAGTGTAAAATACTCTGATCCTGTGTTAGGTTTCAAGAGAACAGATTTCCTGACTTTGCGTGCATTTATTCAGCTCCTGTTATGCTTTATGGGCAATGAAGGCCAGAAAAATGTGGCCAACCTGAAAACTGTTAAATATTTTAACCAAATGTCTAATAGTCCGTTGATAATGCAAAAACTGTTTATTCACTATTTAACGCTTAACACAACATGTTTCAGCCATAGATGGCCATCTTCAGGTGTTTTAATGCGTCCAACTGTTACATTGTTCTGAAGTGCACTAAAATCGCACGTTGCAGTCCACTTAAAATAACATAAATAATTACTTAAAAATCATTAAAATTTTCTATTAAAATTTTTCGTAAAAACCTATTCAACCTCATAACGGGTGTTGTCCACTTGTTTAGAGTTATGTGTTTATTCCAGAAAGTTTGTTTCAGCAGCTTGTTTTCCTGTTCATTAGCCCATTATTTTGCTATGTCTGCAATCTGCAATATGCCCCTTGCTTGTGTGTTGTTCCCTCTAGCAGCGTGTGGTGCTGTCTTCTCTTGCAGACGTAGCAAAAGAACCGGATAATGAACAGAAAAACAAGTTGCTGAAAAAGCTTTCTGGAGTAAACATAACTCTAAACAAGAGGACAACACCTGTTATGAGGTGGAATATGATTTTACGAAAAATGTAATGGATTTTAAGTAATTATTTATGTTATTTTAAGTGGACTGCAAAGCGCAATTTTAGGGCACTTCAGAACAGTATAACAGTTGGACGCATTGAAACACCTGAAGATGGCCATCTATGGCCGAATCATGTTGCGTCAAGTGTTAAATGGTGAATAAACAATTATTGCATTATCAACGGACTGTCAGACATGTGGTTAAAGATTTGCAACAGGATGCTGAAATACAGAATAAATATTTTAAATTTAATTATTAAATTGATCAACATTTCAAGGACTGCAGAGCTTGAATTTTTACAAATTTTGGAGTAAAAACCTAAAGATTAAGAAGTTATATGAAACCATATTTTACATCTTCTTTGGGCACTCAGTAGAAGAATATAGACTGAAGATGTGTGAGAACAAAAGGTTCAGAGACTATTCAGATCCAAGGGAGAGGAATTAATGGAGAAAATTACATAATTAGAGTCTTCAGAATTTACACTCTTAACTTAATACTGTTAGGATGATTAAATTAAGAAGGATTAAATGAGTGAAACATGCAACACACATGGAGAAACTGATAATTGCATATATTTTGGCTGTAAATTTGAAACAAGGAGACTGCTTAGGCACAGAAGAGAAGATAATATTAAATTGGATCTTAAAGTAATAAGATGTGGAGGTGTGGACTGGATTCAACTGACTCAGGATTATGTCCAATGGTAGGCTTTGATGTTAATGTTTGTATCTGTCAAGCTGATTAAATTTTAAGGGAGCAAAGATAATATTTTAAGTGTACCTTTTGTAATATGACTAGAAAATGGTAATTATCCTAAATGTATTACAAATTAGACCAAAAGGAAGCAGATTTACAATGTGTACTGAATTATGATGTATTTTCATAACTTTTCATGACTATTGTTATACCACAAACCATATAACTGAATATTTGGTAACAGAACAAAAGAAATGAAGCAATACCTATGGAAAATTATAACTGTTATCAGCAATACTGTGACCTAAGGGAAAATATGATTTTTATTCAAGAATAATAAATTTTCTAGTAAAATAATCTTCTGTATATCAAACTGACCATGAATCTTCTTGATTCAGCAGTTCTTATGTCTTATGTTATATTACGATTTCACTAAGAGAACACTCAGGGGTGGAGATGGCTTTTTAGAAATAGGTACATGCTCCAGGTCAGTAAAAAACCCAGAAAATGATCACCATATGTTGCAAATGAAATTTATTACAGATTCAGAAATTCATTCCCACATGTATCATTAGAAATGATGCTTTTGATTAAAATTAATGAACTTTGGGATGGTACCATGTAGTATGGTAGAAACATATCATGTTTCAGAGGAACCTGTAGCCTCCATTTTCATGTGAGAAGAGTATTCTGAAGACAGAACATTTCTCTGAGATGGTGGTATCCTACCAAACTACACAGTGTCACATTTGAAATAAAGAAATCTTAATATTCATTGATATTAGAATCTCAAATTTCAGACAGCTATGATGTCTCAAGGAACCAAAATAGCATTAAAAAATATGTGGAATGAAGTACTGTGGAACCTTCATTTAATGTCCAATTTAAATGATTCCAAGACAGCAGTAATGTGTAAAACTTCCATTTAAGATCCTTCTTGATTTAGTGCTCAATTCCACTGTTTTCCAAAGAGACCTTAAATGGGGTTCCATTGTCAATGCATCTACTTGTCTACACCCATTTCCAGCCCTGAACTAAAAGGTTTCTAACACCACTGAGACATGTTACATTCTCATCTCGGGAGTGATAAATTGTACTGGTCTGTTATAGCTAGAATGTTCCATTGTGCACATCATACATGGTAAAGGACAGCAAGGTGAGATGTAAGAAAATGTTACATCTCCCATACTCCTACACTAGCCACGTATAGCACATGTAGTTCATAATGTAAACTTGCCTAATTACATAATACTTTATTTCACTGTGTTTCTCTTTTCCTGAATTGTCTCCATACTGTTTTTTTTTATATTGTGAAAATAGGACGAAAACAATGAGGTCTGACGTATTTGTAACACTTGAATGCAGGGGCCATGCAATAGCTCAATTGATGATTGGTTGCAGCTTCCTGCCTCAGCGGCACAGATTCAGGTTTTGTCCGAGTACTTCGGTTTCCCCTGCCAATTCTCATACAACTAAATCCTCCATAAGTCATTAATCATTCTATCACCAACATTACATATTGATATGGACAGCACGGTTAAGAAAACAAAAATTATATGAGGGAAGTCAGATGTTAAGAACTTACACCTGACTTTACATTACTCTGTGAATAGGGGAACTCCCATATATCTAGCTCTAACTACACCACATTTACCATATACAGAACCCCTACATCAGTTGCAGGGGTTGCTTCTAAAAAATGCTGCCACCTGAGACATGACCATGTGGAGAAAACAGGATGTCAGCACATTCCTGCCTCCAGTGATGGTAATTCCTTGGTGTGGAGACCACACACTTTGCATATACAAATTTAAAACAGCAGCAGATACATGAAACTAGACACCAAAGCTGGAAAAACTGGACACAAATGAAAAACTGCACATACTTGAAATTCATGATTGACAGAAATATGAGTATGTTCTAGGTGGCATTTTCTAGTTTAAAATGTAGCCACAATGGGTCTTGAAGAGTAGGAAAAGGACAACACACACAATAAATCTTCGTAGTCTTTACAGGAAAAAAAAAAGTTTATTTATCTTCGTTACTTTGTAATATAAACAAGCTAGAGCTTCATAAAAATGTTTATGCTAATTTTAAATGTAATTTCAAAAACTACATTTAAGTTACATTTTACAAGTTCCATTCTCCTGTAATGCAGATTGCTTTCAATAGTATACATTTGAAAGTTGCCTTTGTTAAGTTCCTTTTTTTTAATGACACTTTACATTACTGATACTTGCCAGGCATATACAAAAATAAATTAAATATGGAATTTACATAACTTCTGAAGCATTATGTATCACTTCTGTTTTACAAGAAACTGTCAAGAAAACTTGATTCAGTTCAGTACAAGTACCATTGCTCTTGGTGCCAATGTGATTTAAGAACATCTCATACACCTTTTTAAATAGATCTCTCTGTGCATCAGAATTCTTTACAAAATGTAATAATTTAAAAATAGGCATAACTGAGTGGTTAAATCTGTAACTACTCATGAATGAAATGTATAACAGATAGTATAAAATAGTTTATAGTTTTCTTCCTTTACAACTAGTGGTCAGTACGTAAATGTCCTCTGCATGAAATCGAGGAAAACTGAGTATTGGTTTATACATTCACTGTTTAATACATTTTTAGTTAAAACTGGTCTTACAGTTGGTTTAACCCCTTGCAATAAAATTAAATGTTCCCTGATATGTCTAACATACTGAAACAGAATGTACAAAAGACAATTAAAAGAAAAAAAAATGGGGAGACAGCATGGAGAAGTGATACGGTCTGATAGCAAAGTATAAGAATGGATTTGAAAGCTACAGCAGAGGGTTAAATAATTGTCAGATTTTAAACATTGGCACACCATATGTAATAAGGAAGATAGTCTGAACAGGGTCAAACTACTATTCACACTGAACTAATATCAGTCACTTCAATTCTCGTGATTGGTTTTGCAGGTTCAATCTTAAGAAAGTCCTCTCCACCTTCAGTTCCAACCCTGAGATCCTGAAGGGATGCCACAATGCTGTCGACTGCTATGGGAGCTGATGATACTGTGTTTCTCGAGCCTCCTGCTTTGGCAAAGTGAAGGAAAGCAAAACCCCTGTGTCCACGCCATGTGATATCAGTGGGTTTGATGCCTCTCTCTGCTAAAGCTGCCTTAAGGTCACGGACACGGACATTTGATGCAATATTGCCAACTTTCAGACTGAACTCGATTCCAGGTCGCTGTCGAGGACGGGCTGGTCGATGCTGTTCCTTCTTTGTGATGTTTCCAGTGACATTCTTTGAGAACAGAAGGTAACAAAACAATTACAAATCATATGCAGAAAGTCTGCTGTAACGTAAGCTTCGGGCAATATGAATTGTACTTGTGTTCAGTAACTGAGTCTTGGATTATTTCATTAGACTATTTAAATTGTGCACATTGGATGAGATATAAATGAACCTATTTTAGAGTAATATCCTGGCACTGACCAGGAGAAACCGAGGGAAACCTACTTGATCCTGTTGCAGGTACTACAAAACAGGATCTTTATATACAACATAGGCAGCTCATTAATTAATATAACTGGCTATGAGATGGGACTGAAGTTTGATCCCGAGTATGGTCAGGACTTTTCTCCTTCATCAGAACTGTGTCCAGATTAGTCCTTGTGTCCACCAGGCCTCCCATTCAAAGTGTACCAGGGATAAAAAGGAAAATCTGGGGGTTCAAGTCAATCACTTACTTTCATCCACAGCCAAGGTGATGATGCACAAAACCATACTTCCACACCCCCTATATGCTTACACATATTGATGCTACCAAAGGGGCAAAGATACTTTTATTTTAAATGTAGAGAAAACTGACTTGGGGAAGGACCCAAATTAAGGTAAAAATAGAATGGTTAAAAGGAGATATCTGGTAGACATGTTGGTCAGTTTCTAATGCCGCACTTTGACAATCAAGTCATTTGTACTTTTAACCTCGACTGGTTGGTGTATCTGTAACTCATTTTGTACCTGAACATCACTTAGGAAAATTACATTATCCAGTCACCCAGCATACTTCAGATGGGTTGGGTACTTTCAAGCTGTTCCCATTCTTTGTCACCAGAGATCACTGCAGTGACCAAGAAATGGCATCTAGTTTCACCTTCATTCATCTTATATTTTTAACATGTCATGAATGTATGACATGGGACCCCTGCTTCACTTCCTTTCCAAAGGAAGTTGTGCTATGGATATTTATAGTTCTTAAAATCTATCAACCGCACCTGGGTTTGAATCCTCGAACCAATGGTGGGCATGTTACCACTAGCCCACTGAGGAAGACTTTGATAAACCGGTGTGAATGGAATATTATACCTCATCCTTGTTAACTTCTTTGCCATATCCATGTTTAGGTGTGGATGATGTCTGCTTCCTAGCAGCGGGACGAGGGCGACGGAATGGCCTTTTATTCTGAATGTCCTCTCCATCTATCACAGATAGCTGTGGCCCTTCAACACCCTTCTCTGACTGAGGTGACTTAGGGATACCATGACGTCTTCTGAAGCGATTTCTTCTGTAACCATGCCCACTAGCCCTTGGATGTTCTCCAACATCGGAGTCAACTTCTTTCAACGTGCAGTCTTTTCCTTCACTGCATAAACACAAAAGCGCATACTTTTTAGCTGAGAAAAGGTTATAGACAAGGAGGCAAACTGATTAGTGTTCTGCTCTCTTTACTTCATAGTACAATGGCATAGTATTATTAGTACTGTCTACTAGGATGTAAGGTGGCACACAGTAGCATAGTTGGTTGAGGCACTATGCTACAATTTGGAAGGTCGTGGGATCAAATCCCACAGAGGTGGATTTTTCAATTGACCTAATCCTTCCAGCTGCACTATGGCCCTGGGGTTGACTAAGCCTCTAACAGAAATGAGTACCAAGAATATTCTTGGAATATTCTTGGGGGTAAAGAGTGGCCAGCATGTAGGGCTGACAACCTTACTGCCATCTATGAACCAACTGTGTAGAAAATGTGGGAACCTCAACATCTCTCAACCCTATGGGCTTCCATGGCCTGTTACAGATATATCTTTACTTACTTTTTTTACTAGGATGTAACACCATGTAGTCCAGTAGAAGGCCAATGTTTCTGAGGACCATACTGCCTCCATCTTCAGGGCTGAAGGGTAAGCCCCCAAAAAAGAAAAAAGAAAAGAAAAAAAAAAACACCTGATTCTTGCTGATTGCTGATCTCACTCTTTGACCCTGATGGAGGCATTATGGCCCTCTCAAACATCTAACTTTAGGTAGCGAAGAAATAATTGAGAAAAATAAATAAAATATTTCACAGGGCAATCCAGAAGGATAGAAATATTAATGGATCAAAATAAGAGTACTACCACCAATTAAAAACAGGATATGGTATACCATGGCCTGCCTACATGTTTTGTGCAAGCTGAAAATATCAGCATAATTTCTGGATGACTCTTGCAGTTGCCATTGGTACACCAAAAGTGCCTTGAAGAACAGCAGGACAGTCAAGGTTGATCAGTCCCACCTATCACTCGCCTCACCTTCTCTTTATTGGAGGACAATATATACTCGTAAATGCCAAATTCAATTTTATATCCTATTATTTTTAGCGTGTCTTTTTGTTTGCCTATGAGATTTTCTCAATTTCTTTATGTAACCAAAAGTGTTCTGCTCTTAAGTTCATGAAACTTCTGTACCTGACACATTACTCATGTAAAGGTTCTAAAATAACCTTGAGATGCTGCTCACCACATCTCCGCGTCTCGAAGAGTCTGCAGAATGGGTATATCATTCAGCCGTCGCTCTGAGAGTAGACTCCAGTTGATTCCACTTGGTCTGGGAAGCCGTGGATTTACTTCTATCACTTGGGTTGGAGTTATAATGAAGTCCACAGGTACATCATTTTCCTTGAACAGTTGTGAGGGTAATGTCTCGAACACCTAACCATATAAATGCACTGCAATAATAGGGTTATTCAAATAAATAAAAGGAACAAAATACATATCATAAAATGTTAATCCAGTGTCAGAACTACAATATTTGCCCAGACTTTAATTACAGCTAACAACACCACAGAAATTGGAATTGCCCAGTCTCTAATATTAACCTGGTACTGGCACAGAAATTAAGACCATAGTAGTGAGCTAAAAGGTAAATCTATCCCTGTAACAGTTCATGGAAGCCCATAGGGTTGAGAGACATCGAGGCTCCCACATTTTCTAGACAATCGGCTCTCAGATGGCAGTGAGGTTGTCAGCCTTACGCACTGGCCGTCCTTTGCCCACGAGGAAGATTCCTGGTACTCATTTCTGTCAGAGGCTTAGTCGAACCCTGGGCAACAGTGTGGCTGGAAGGATTAGGTCAATTGAAAAAAATCAACCTCATCAGGACTTGAATCTGCAACCTTCCGGCTTGTAGTATAGTGCCTCAACCAACTACTCTACTGTGTGAGTACATCTTAAATATCACATTTACCTCACTGTAAACTGAAGTATCTTATTTTTATTTTAATAAACAAAAAGGGCGCTGTATGAAGTATGGCAGTAAAAAATACGATTCAATAGGAAAAAACATACATCTAGCGAATGTGGCAAATACTGAAACTTGCATATCCATAGAGTGTTGCATCAATTTGTGAATATTTCCAAAACACTGATCATTAAGTTTACATTACTGCTACCACCAAACTCACAATTTAGAAAATTCTTTTCTTTTTCTTTTCATTTCCATGGCTTTTCTGTTGAGGTATATTTTATAAGGAAGCAACATCCATCAGATGTGAGTCTATACGTCCAATATCTTTACTGCTATTCAACCAGAAAAAAAACGATGCTGGAATAAAGATTTTCTTATATGGAAGTACTGCAGTAAGCCACAGTTGCCAGATGTTGCTTAGTTTAGAGATATACAGTCAACCTCTGCAGCAATTGATGATTACCAAATTAACACAGAGAACATGGTAAAGGTAAAAAAAGGTAGTTGTCCCTGGGCTTAACTAATCAAGCATTATGCCATGAAGGCATGTGAGGGAGCGGATGTATAGATCCACATTTTCCTGACCTCGGCACTAACTGGAGGTGAGTGGTCAGCTTTACGCCCCGGCCGCTTTACCCCAGGGAAAGAGCCCCTGGTACCCAATGGATTGGAAATTGGATTGACCCCTGAGCCAGTCTGGACAACATGGAGAAGAGGAAAATTTTTACCCTACTGGGACTTCAACTTCAACTTCTCACGCGTCCAGCCTGTAGCCAGTCCCTATACCGACTACTCTATCCCAGTTCCTCAGAGAATATGGTACTAGTGCTAATATTAAGTAGTTCACTGTTCTGTTCACAAGGTATCAGGTTTGAATCTTGATGCTGTTAATGACTATACTATGTTCACACATTTCCACAGTATCTCCACAAAATTGCTGGTATAGTTCCTTCAAATATGAGTGGTTACATAACAGCATGTGACCGGGTAATTTTAAGTCACTTTCATGCTTGCCATGTTAGCTCTGCCAACCTCTGAAGTTCACATGTAAAACTAAGGCCCAAAACCTGACCTATTAATTCACCTCCAACAGCATGTTCACAATGTTAGGCTCCTGCTCTTGTTTTCAAAAATAAACTACAACAGTTGGCATCACTAATTTGGCATAGAGCAGGGTGAGAAATTTTTTAGTTACTTACATCACCAATTAACATGTAAGCAATGATAAATATATACAGCTACTAACCTTGAAAATGGGCCGCACCATAGATCAAGCGGTTAGTCGCTGGCTTCCCACTGTGGCGGCCCGGGTTCGATCCCAGGTCTGGTCAAGTGGAATTTGTGGTGGACAAAGTGGCGCTGGGGCAAGCTTTCTCCGAGTGCTTCGGTTTCCCCTGCCAATCTTCATTCCACCAATTGCTCCACAATCACAATCACCTATCATCTGGGGATGGTACAATAGGCCAGAAGCAGCCACAGTACAAGTGACTTAGTCCCACCCCACTAGCAATAGAAAAAAACCTTGGAAATCAAGAAAGACATGAAAAAAATGATGTATATGTGTACCTGGCAATCATGCACAGTTGCAGCAATAACAGTATTCTGGTCTACAGCCCCCATCTTCATCATCATTGCAAATTCAAGGTCTGCATAGCCTTCCCCTTTCCCTACTCTGTATCCTGCAATGAAGTAACCACACTCACTGTAACATATGCATGATCTCTTCACACTGTTTACATATGGACAAACTACTGTGAGGTACTAAACATGACACATGACATTGTCAAAATCTCATAATTTACTAGTAAATCTTGTGATAAAATTGTGCTTCGTGTCATATGAGAGCCATCAATCAGCAGCATGTGGCCTGTGGACTTGTCCACATGCTCCATAATATATTCATTGTGACGCTTACTGTATATACACATTTGAAGTGTTAACCTGTTGCATTTTCACTTGCAATTATAAGTAATGTACCAAACACAATGGAATTACTTAAGGTATACCTCAAACTGTCCGTGAGAAAATGAAACCAAATATGTTTTTGCTTATGACTTCAGATCACACATTTGCCCATCTTGGGCTTTACCTGCCTGGCAAGAATCAATGTTTTGGGTGGTAGTACCTATAGACCATGATCACTATGGCTTGTTAATTTTAAATTACATCCCAGCTTTATATTACAATATAATTATATGCAATATCATACTCGGTATCTACAGTACAGTTGTCTAAATATCCCCAAGTTGCTGGACATCTGGACAGTGGCCAAATTCACATTGATCATAGAGAATACAAGTAGTATGCAGCTGGAACTCCATGACACAGTAAACACCTGGTACTTTACACCAAATGATAGGATGTTTATAATAAAAAAGATAATGAATGTTGGTAGAGCTATGGCATAAACCATGCAGAAAACATGACATTTTTCTTTCTTGAAGTTTTGGCTTTCTCAGGGATAAGGGAACAGAGACATTTGTGTTGATTAAGAAGGCACCTAGGGACATTCAAAATGACTCATGGCATTTCAACACAGATGACTCATTTAAGCGTTCCCTATCAGAATATAAAATTCTATGTGATGGCATTTTCATAAGAAGTTACATTCATTTACCTTCCTTTGAGACAGCAACAGACCCTAAAACAATGAGATCTACTTTCACTTTAGCATCAAGGCCAACAGGTTTACCCCACTGTTCTGAACCTTGCTGGGTAGCTGCTACCTTCAATTCTTGCTTTGAAGCATCTGAGGGAGGTACCACATGTAGAAGCAATCCTGAGCGTAAGCTTGGAATTGGAACCAACAAGTTTTTCCTTGCCTAAATAAAAGAAAGGTTTAATTATTTTCTCAGTAGTACAAATTTGTAAAATTAACACAATTCCCATTAACCACAACACTCACTTCTAGAACAAGAAATCGCACTGCTTCTTGTGGTTTGTCTGGAGTAACTTTGATGGTATATGCACCTTTGAAAATATCAAGCTCTGACAGTTTCTGAGCTGCCTCTGGGGAACCTTTGAAATTAGGAATCCGACCGTAGACAGGCCGAGGAAAATGGGCTAAATCATTTTTTTCCAAACAATGCCACACTTTCCGGCGAATAGCTTGTTTGGTCACCTCTTCAGCTGAAATAAGAATATAAAGACAATATTACTTTAACAATCACCAATTAACAATATATTTATTCTTACGAAAAGATTAATTTATCTATGCACGTAACATACGTAATATTTCTTCATTATCAGTCATAATTCTGGTTCAATCTGAACTGCTTTTGCTAAATGAGTAACTTTTTTCGTTTAAGAACTCGTGTTCTCAACTTCGCCTATGTATGAAAACAGAACACAAATGCAAAGCACCATATTCGACCAACGTAAGAAACCACAATTTTCAATCAAAAATTGTAATAACTACAATCAACTAAAACAAACTCATTCCACAGTGTATGCAGATAGGTGAAAGTATTTAACGACCCTGGCTTTCTTCAGTTCTTACGAGTGAAGCGCTTTAGTTCATAACAACTCATGTTAATTGGCTGCGTTTGTTGTCCCTCGATGTTGGCAGCGGATGCTATCGTTGTTTATTTTTACTGTTAATGCAACTGATCACTCTGTATGCTCTGTATTCACGCGGCGGTGGGAATTTCAAATGAATTTATGGATGAGTAGGTGCATCCGATAGTGTGAAATTAAGAAAATCTGCAACTGAGCGTAAATTTATGCTGCCATATGTAGAACAGATGTAGAGAAGCAAATGTAGGTGAATGATCTGCCGGAATTCTAGTGACATTTGCGTTGTGCGGTATGTGGTGAATTTTTGTTTTGAGAATATAGAAAATTGTTAAAGTTTACAGAATTTCAGAATTTTTCTATGAAGTCAAGTATTTCTTATAACATAAATGAATTTCAGTTGTCGAATGTTCAAATATTACACTTATTTTAAAAGTTTACAACTCTGTTTATTTCGAATAATGGAATTATAAAAAACATTTGGAATATTTTGAGAATTTGAAACCTTTTTGAAAAATAATCTAACCTAATCTAACTTCACCTGACATGGCTCAGTGACACCCATTGTAGCCTCAATGGGGAGGGAAGCGCGCAGTTGGATGCATATGGGTTTTGTACTCGAAGTTTATTGCTACAACTGTGTCCTACCTTACGACTTCGTGTCTTCATCGCACTTTTATTACTGATTCTAAAAATTTTAAATAATGGCTTTGGAATGGTCTTGAGTGGCACGACATTAATGCCAAATTTGGTGGAAATCGGGCTAGTGGTTCAAACTCGGAGTATGTGGGAGCCATGATGGATATTGCGTGCCCAGCATCGGGAACACTGGGACCTTCTGCAGCGGCTGTAAACGAAGTGAATTGGAAAATATGCCTAGCTAATATCCGCTGTGTTACTAGATACCTGTTCCTAGGGTGTATATCTTAATGTTGGCTCCGCAAGCTGGTATCTTCAGAATGTCGGTGGTGGCACCATTGAACCTCAGTGTGGATCTCATTGGTGGGTTGGTGGTGTGTAGCACGAATGGAAAGGTCGGTAAATGTGGGGGTGAAGTTATTAAACAGCTGAAGGAATGGGTTAGAGAAATCCTAAGCCAATATTTCGGTTATTTCATATCTAGATAACTGCCGTGCCCGGTAATGAATTTGTTGCAAATTGTGTTCCGTGTTATAGTGTAGTTTGTGCCGGAAATACTCGAGCGCTTTCGAATATACAGGCGAACCTCGTATAGACAATAGGTGTTTTTCAAGAGACGCCAACGGCAAGTCTCAATAGGAAAATGGCGGATAACAAGAGTACAGCTATTGACAATTTGCATACCAAAAACGGGAACTTTATTTGTGGAGTTGTGGAAGGTAATGCGAAAAAGCAAATACAACATTGTACTGGCATTCGCATTTAGTTTGTATGCAGTTAAGGTTAAGTATTTAAAATATTTACGCTTTAAATTTGAAAGTACAATTTTCTTATGCTATCCGAAACATACCCAGTTATCTGCGATGTTTAAATACATTGAAATAGATTTCGATTTTTTAACGTGAGATCTGTTTTCAAGTTGCTTTGTAAACTGTAGAGCGGTTGAAAGGAACAGTAAAGATATTATATAAGATTTGAGGTTTTCACGGCGATGACTGAAGAAAGCAGTCTTTTGGGATGTGGCACCGTGTAGATGTGGTGTTAACCGACGTTTCGGAGGAACATATCGCCTCCATCATCAGGGTAGAAGAAAAAATAAATAATCCGCAAGCGAAGAGACCGTGAGAACCGGTACAAGCAGACTGGTGTTGGAAATACAGCTATGTGAGTGCAGTGAAGGGGGGAAGTCTACATGGGAAATTAGTGGAGAGGGAGAGGGGAAGGGGCTGGAACAGAAGCAGGGTTTTGTATAAGATATTGTGTCAGGGGAGAGAAAGGCAAGGTTAAAGGGAGGGCACTAACCCTTACGCTGAGGGGTTTGGGGGTTGCTATATTAGTCGGTCATGGCCTGTGTAGCCTTGTGGATCTGGCGTCATGTGCCGGGGAGTGGGGTTTAGGGAACAGATGAGAGGCTCCCATGCTGAGACAAACCCCCCTCACTCCCTGTTCATATTTTCGGGATGGAGTTCAATCTCAATGGATTCCCTAATGATGCAATCCATATATTGGGTCTTGGTGGCGAGGATGGAGGTATTCTGAAGCTGAATTCGATATCCCAGATCGATGCTGTGTTCACCTATGGCTGACTTGTCTGGTCATTCAAGACGGATGTGCTGCTGATGCTCCTTCAACCTCATGTCCACGTAGCGGCCCATCTGCTCAATATAGACCTTGCCGCACTCGCATGGGATACTGTATACACCCGGTGTCCTTAGTCCCAGGCTACCTTTGACCGGCCGGAGGAAACTGGATAATTTGTTTGGAGGCAGGCCCACTGCTTTGATATTGTGCCGGAACAGCACTCTGCTGATACCGTTGAATATAGTACTTACATAGGGAAGGACGGCGACTGAGCCTGGTTTATCTTCAGGCCGGCTGATGTTGGGCCAACGGTTGAGAACTCTGTGGATGTGCTGGTTGTTGTATCCATTCTTCCTGAATACATCCACCAGGAGCACCAACTCCGCATGTAGGCTGTCTTGATGCTCTTTGTGGTCAAGTCTCAGCAAGTCATGGAAGCCTCTCATCTGTTCCCTNCACCCCCCCCCCCGGGACATGACGCCAGATCCACAAGGCTACACAGGCCATGACCGACTAACATAGCAACCCCCCACCCCCTCAGCATAAGGGTTAGTGCCCTCCCTTTAACCTTGCCTTTCTCTCCCCCCGACACAATATCTTATACAAAACCCTGCTTCTGTTCCAGCCCCTTGCCCACTCCCACTCCACTGATTTCCCATGTAGACTTGTGCCCCCCCCTCTTTTCACTGCACTTGCATAGCTGTGTTTATTTCCAACACCAGTCTGCTTGTACCGGTTCTCACAGCCTCTTCGCATGCGGATTATTTATTTTTCCTTCTGCCCTGAAGATGGAGGCGATATGTTCCTCCGAAACATCAGTTAACACCACATCTACACGGTGCCACATCCCAGAAGACTGCTTTCTTCATAGTAAAGATATTGATTACCAAACAGGGACCTGGAAAACTTGCCTTTCGGTTCATTATTGAATTTAATTGAATAGGATTAATGACGAAAAGGAGTAAAGTAGCACAGAATGAGTAGGTGTAAAACAATTCCCCCTCATGTATAGAATAATGACTAGATTTTGAAAGTAAAGTAACAGGATACACTTCAGACTGTTGTAGAAGTGTACTAAGGCGTTTGAGTTTTAGTAAATATGCAGAATGCAGTTTAGGACTCTCCAAAACCAATGTAGTTTGACTTTTAACATATTCCAACACAACCAAACCTAAAGTGGTAGAACTGAGGACTAAGAAAACCTCTGGATTGTCATGTGATGATGATTTCAGACAATATTCTACATTTTATCCATGAGTTTTGTTCCACATATTACATTTATTTCTATTGTAAATGATAAGAGCAAGATAGTTTTCACATTTGGAACCTAGGAAAGTTACTGAAATCTCCAGACTTATTTTATTTTTTGTCTGAAATAGTGTGTGTCTGTATAGTGTAAGGGCCTGTGTTTTACAGGTCGGGCAGTCATTTAGTGAGCCCAGAATGTGAAGTCAGCCTTTTTCATATAGTATTGATGATTTTGTGGTCATCAAATTTTGGTTGCAAGCTCATTCCATATAGCTTTTAGATTAAAAAAAAAAGCAGGAAATTGGCTGGCATGTATCAAAGAATTTAAAAACTGTGGGAGGTAATAATACAAATATATATCATCCATAAAATGAGAGAAGCAGAACGCAGTATTTCACATTTGGCATGTGTGTGTGTGTGTGTGTGTGTGTGTGAGTGAGTGAGTGAGTGAGTGTGAGCTTCTTTAGTACATGATTTTCTAGAATTGCCAAAAAATTGATGTAGTTATGCTTATTGTACATGGTACATTGTACATGGACTGGATGAAACTAGCCTGTTTCATCACTGAATTTGGATTTATTTTGATAAATATGATTATGTCTAAATATAAGACGGTATGATCATTCTGACTTCACTAATACAAGCATAAGTGTCTGTAGGGGAATAACTTAATATTGTCACAGTATTCTGTGAGCCAAAGAGAAGCGGCCAGTGTATCTTAAAGATAGGGTATATATGGTTATTTACATCATATAATTTTTTCCAGGTTTTTATGGAAGACCCTGGACTACAGAACAGAGAAAAGATTTGTTCCAAAAGTAAGTTATATATCATCAAATGACTGGCTACAGGCTGGACAACTGAGGGGTCGGAGTTTGGGTCCCGGTAGAATCAAGAATTCTCTTTTCTCCACGTTGTCCAGACTGGCTCTTGGGTCCACCCAACCATCTCTCCAATTGGTACAGAGGGCTCGTTCCCTGGGGATAAGTGACCGGGGTGTGTAGCTGACCACTCACCTCCAGCGAGTGCTGAGGTCAAGAAAATGTGGCTCTATACATCCACTCCCCCATATGCCTTCATGGTGTAGTGCTTAATTAGTTAAGTACAGGGACAGCTTTACCTTATGTCATCAAATGTAGCATCATTCGTCTTATTTCAGTGGTTATGGGATGCAGTACCCAACCTGATTTTATACATGAAGTATACAGCACCTTGGCTCTTAGTTCTTCATGTAATTAGGCATGATAGTTTGTGAGATGAGGTATCCTGACGTGTTTTGTGATGGTTCTTGATTCTCTAGTAAAAGGAACTAATATCTAACACAATGGTAACAGATCCCAACTGTTCAGCACTGTTCATGCCATTGCAGGCTGTCAGACACATCATAAACTAATTTCATTCATTATGTGTCACCATCTGTTCCATAACATCTGTTGACATGTTTTGTATGTTCTGTATCTGTTGTATTCACTTCACATGTAAATAAAGTCATATAAAACAATCCTCCATGAAAGCCTTTACTTAACATGACATGTTCCACCATCATTCATGTCAGGTTTTTTTGTCATATTGTCTTTCTGCCAAATTTTATGAGTAACATTGTCCTTTGGAGATATCTGTTTCAGTTAGTGAACAATTTTTAACTTAATAATCAGTTTTATCTGTTCCACCTTCTTGGTTTATTTTCTCCATGGTGACATTCTTGGTTTCTTTGTTACCTATGTTTTGCTATTTATCTATGTGTTCATATTGTACTGTGGTAAATTTGATAAAGCTGTCAGTACTCACATTATTGTATGTCAGATGGTAGGATGATTATTGAATGATGAATTGGAAAGGATTTGGAAGGAACTGGCAATGGCTTACTCAAGGTACTGCCCAACCAGTTGCCTGTAGGGACTGATGTTTTTGTTCGTGTGTCATAAATGTCTTCTGACTTGAGTTCGTGTTATTAGTATATTTTATTTGCGATGCTTGATGTGTTGCAAGCTGAAACCAGTCTTTTCTTTCATATATCAGCAATATCCTCCCTTCATGTATTCTGACAGAATTGTATGTACAGTCCTGAACTTACATGTACATGATATATTGCCGCCCATATCATCCTTGATTTACTCACTCTGATAGTGTTTGGTGGTGTGTACAAATGATGAAGCGGCATGTAATATAATTTTCGTTCACTTTCCCATCACTCTCTCCGTGATTGAAATATTCTCGTCATTTTGATCTGAAATATGCACAGTGTGTGGAGTTGGAGACACATTTCATGCCCACATAAAACATTTCATTCCAGAACTAAAATTCAGAAATACAAGAATTACACACAATGCAGCGGTTTCTTATGGCACATGAAAGAGAAAGCCTTTCCAGTTCACATTTTGATTCTGAATACAGAATAAGATATCTCCATAAATCATGAGTGAAAGTTCACTGAAACATTGCTTCAGTGCCAATGAGAGTGTACATAGCATGTATAGCATGACGTGGCATGCTGTTAAGTACTGATATTGAGGATGGGTATTCCCTTCACATAGAATATTTATGTTACAATTCCATCGAAAATGCAACCACTTTATTCCTTAGAATTTTCACTTGTTACAACATGTTTCGTCCCCAGCTGACCATCATCAGGTACTTCAACTGCATTCCACCAGTAATGTCTTCTGAATGGAGTAGGGCCCCAAAGTATAGAATATGATAATTTAAATGCTGTTTGACCTTTTGTCCAATTCATTAGGACACTGGATATTATCAGTCCAGATTTTTCTAGGTATTGAAACATTAGTTGTGATTCTTACCAAGATCAACTACATTAGGATTTGCAAGGCCAATTTTGTTTCAATAAATTAAGAGGAAGGTAAGTATTGTACTGTGGTTTTGCTTAAAAACTGTTCGCCGTATGATTCCGTGGAATTCAGTATGGGAATTAAGCATGCTTCGAAATAAGTGTTCATGATCTGATAGTTAGGAACCTCATCATTTATGTTTTACATAGAGCAGAAGTTGGCAGCATATTTTAAGTCATGACACATTTAGTTGTAATGTTATTTTTCTGGTAAGCAGATGAAAATTACATTAACCTTGGAGTTTATGAGCATTTTAAAAAATCCGTGGCAGTAGGATTGGCTGATGGAGGATGGGGCAAATGGGATATACAGCATAAGCGGGTAAAATGAGAAATATATAACAGATTTTCTGTATGAAATCCTCAAGGAAATTAAACTTTGGAGACCTAGAAGTATTCAGAAGGATGTTATTAAAATGGTGCTCATGAAAGTGGTGTTTAATTATTGTAGGACAGAGTCAGATGATGATGTAATGAACCTTCAGGGTTCATACTGGCTGGTTGAGTAACTGTTAGCTTATCATGGAAGACATTGTATCATGGACTTAATTATTTTCTTGTGTAACTCTCAGAATTCATGCTGATTCTGTTCCTGTATATGTGATTTGGATAAAAAGGTTTTTATTCTGATTGCCAGGTTGAAGAAATGGGGAATGGATTCATACCTTTATGCTCCAAAGGATGACTATAAGCATCGTGCCTATTGGCGAGAGCTGTACACTGTAGAAGAGGCTGAACATCTCACAGGTATCCTAAAAATATTCTATTTGTTGTGCAACTGGTTCTCAGAATGTCTGTATGATTGTCTGACCTTAAGAGATTTGCATAACTATCAGCCATGTTAGGATAATACATCCTTGAGCAGATCACTCACTGTGTAAACTTGAGAAGTATTGCCATAACTGATTACTGATGTGGATATGGAAATGTTTGACTGCCCTGCAGGACTGATCTCCTCAGCCCGGGATCATGGCATCACATTTTACTATGCTCTGTCCCCTGGTCTGGATATAACCTACTCTAGTGCCAAAGAAGTGGCTGCATTGAAGCGAAAACTGGAACAGGTGTCTCAGTTTGGCTGCGCTGCCTTTGCACTTCTTTTTGATGATATTGAGCCAGAAATGTGCGAGGCAGACAAAGAAGTGTTTCAGTCATTTGCTCATGCTCAGGTAATTTAGNGGTGAGACTGAGTCCACTTGGTACTGCGGCCACTATTGGCCTATTGTACCAGCCTCTGATGATAGATGATGGTGATTGTGGAGCTGTTGGTGGAATGAAGATTGACGGGGAAGCCAAAGTACCCGGACAAAACCTGCCTCAGTGCCACTTTGTCCACCACAAATCCCGCATGACCTGACCCAGGTTTGAACCTGGGCCACCACAGTGGGAAGCCAGCAACTAACTGCCTGAGCTATGGCATGACCTTATAATTTAACTTAAGTGTGTGATATATTGAAATCTTCTTTGGTACTTGGCTGAGTGTAGATCAAATGGATGGACATGAGTGGCCACCTGAGAAGGTTTTATTGTATTTACTTACCATGAAAGCTTCAGTTTTAATTGTCAGCATTGTTTAATTGCTGGCGTTACAGTAGTACCCAGGCTACTGAAGTTTTTTCAGTCATTGAACCACCATTTATAACATATCTATGATAAATTGAATTTTGAATGAAATGCTTTTGAACAAACACTTCGAATGAAACACATTCATCATTTAGGGATTTCTTGTACACCAGAAAATATTAGGCACCGTTGGAATTTGTTCAGCCCTGCACTCAATTTCATGAAACTGAAATTGTTCCTGATGTGATTACAGGTATCTGTCAGCAATGAAGTGTTTCAGCATCTGGGCCAACCACGTTTTATGTTATGTCCAACACAGTACTGTGCGGCTCGTGCCACTCCTAATGTCCAAAACTCGGAATACCTCAATACACTAGGATCTAAACTTGCTCCTGAAATAGACATAATGTGGACAGGTAAGTAAATATAGGCACATAAATAGAATATAATGTACAGTATGATTTGCCCATAGGCATCTTCATAGCTGGTTTTGTTATCTTGGTGGGTCTGGAGATGCTGCGAGTATCAATGTGTGCTTCAGAAAAGAGGTAAGAATTTGTGGTATAAGGGACAGGACCCAAGCCTTTGTGTGTATGCTGCAAAAAATTACATTTTCCTGTCTTCCAGAGACAAGTTAAAAGTGGGTATTTGTACTTGAACAGGGCGTTCATATGCCTTCTTACCGAAGAGAGATGAAGTGACAGGAGGTTGGAGAAAACTACATAATGAGGAGCTTCATAACTTGTACTCTTCTCCAAGTATAATTAGAATGATAAAGTCAAGGAGGATGAATTGGGCAGGGCATGTAGCACGAATGGGGGAGAAGAGAAATGCATATAGGATATTGGTGGGAAAGCCAGAAGGAAAGAGACAACTGTGAAGGCCAAGGCGTTGGTGGGTGATCAATATTAAAATGGATCTTAGAGAGATAGAATGGGATGGTACGGATTGGGTTAATCTGACTAAGGATAGGGACCAGTGGAGGTCTCTTATGAACACAGTAATGAACCTTCAGGTCCCATAAAATGCTGGGAAATTCTTGAGTAGCTGCAGAATTGGCATCTCCTCAAGAAGGGCTCAGCTCCATGAGTGAGTGAGTAAGTATTATACTTGTTCTTTTGTTTTTGAATTACATTATTAATTGTTATATCATTACAGTGTTTTGTGTTTTCTTGTACTTCGTAGGTCCGAAGGTAATTTCTCGGTTATTAACGGTTGAATCAATAGAAGAGATAACAGACGTGTTGCGCCGCCCTCCAGTGATTTGGGATAATCTGCACGCCAATGATTACGACCAGAAACGTGTATTTCTGGGACCTTATTCAGGACGTTCTCCGGATCTTATTCCTAAGTTAAGGGGTGTGCTCACAAATCCCAACTGTGAATATGGAGCTAACTTTGTGGCCATTCATACGCTAGCACAGTGGAGCAGGTGTAATGTGGATGGCAAGAGAGACCCCAGTATTAGTAAGTGTCTTGTATTTTCTTCATTATGTAAGTGTTTGTGAGACTTCAAGTTTAGCTTTTTTGTTAATTATATGAGTAAGGTTAGCCTTAGTAGTATTTTGGTCCATATCACTGTTTCTCCTAATAACTTTTAATCAGATGACAGATTTTTGTGAAACATGGTATGATGATCTTGCTGAGGTCACTCACCTATGTACTTGTATATGTTTGGAGGTTTCTGTGATGACCACTGGTCAATTTGTGGTCTCAGGGTTGTGACAAGATTTGTTCTTGTGGGCAGATACTGATGTTTCAGAGGAACATGCTGCCTTTATCTTCAGTGTTGAAGTATGTAGGGTGAGGAGTTGGTTCTGTTACAGAGGTATGTTTTAAGGATGTTAGTTATTCAGGTCTACAGGAGGAGTAAGGAAATGGAGCATGGTTTGGGCCAGTGGTATTGGTGGGTAGGAAAATGGCTCTTCCAGTTCATGCTGTTTTCTGTCACAAGATGGAAAGTGTAATTGTGAGAAAAGAGGCTCTTTCTAGTGCATTGCAGTATGTTTTCATCAAAGGAAGGAAAAATATAACATTGCTAATTGAGAAAAGAGAGTTCATTTTAGGACCCCTACAGGCAAAAAGTTGAAAATGAAAAATCGATTATTTGAGGGTTGGGATACAGAAGTCAGCACTCAGTTCTAAATTGAGTTCTTGATTTCTTGTTGTCAGTTACCAGCATTGTAACTGTGAAAAACTGTTTTGGTGGAAGCAATGAAACTGTTTAATGTAAGGTTCTGAAACATAACATTATTTAAAATTATGCATCTTTGTTAAAGGAATTTTTATAGAATGTAAAACACCAACTGTGTGAAATATATGTTTATATTCCGTTGGAGGACAGTAGCTAATGTGAAATTTTGTATCTGACAAACTTAACACATTGGACAACTGTACTAATGGACATTAATTGAATTGGTTAGCTGAAAGAAGGAACATATTTGTATTTCAATGGTTGGATATGCTCCCTTTTTCTGCCAACCAATTCAGTTGTGTTCTTATTTATAATTCTTCCTAACCTCGTGATCTACAATGAAATATATGAAGGAACATGGGCATTTAAGTTCTTTTTTGGGACTTCATGTTTATTTGCTGAAGAAAGACTTCATTGGTGCTGTCAGTACAAAGAAAAACAGGCCATCTTGCAGCTTATCACATGGATAATAAATTATGTATGTTGGAGGTTTGCATTAAACTTTGATTTTTCACTTTTGAATGGACCACACACATACAAAAAAAAGAAACTGTGGAAATGGTAATGCAAGGAAAGTTGTGGGTTGGTTTATACCATAACTTTGACATGACATTTCATGTATTCATGTTTAAACACAATGTAAGTATTGTAATCTACATACCATGTTATTTATTTTTTGTTCAGCTCTCAGTCTATGGAGTTATTTTATATGAAGTTCAAAAACTTTTGTATGTGAAGGTACATCTATTTTACTAGGGGAACTGTAAACTTGAGCAGAACAACACTTGTGTTTCCTTGAATTTTAGAATGTTATGAACATAAAGTGGAGTAAATTTTACGTGGAAAAATGAAGTGTGAGATTGGGGAAAGCTTATATTTCAGGAAACATTAAATTGGTAATGAATGTGTAAGGGGGTGGGCCTTCTCAGCCCTTGCATCCCGACCTACAGTGATCTGTTGTGCTTCCCCTTTTAATTATCCCCTCAGGAATCCTGCGCTTCGAATGAAGCGCAGGATTTTGTACCTGTGGGCTTCATAATAGTCACTTGGTTCCATAAAGCATTGACCCAAGTGACAATCTTAAATAAGCTAAGGCCTCACATTCACACAGGATATGTGTGGCTGTTTCATTTTCTTCTTGGCACCTCTCACAAGTGGGACTATTAGTCTCAGTTTGAAGAGGTGTCCTTTAAGGTGACTGTCCTGTAAGTAGTCCCACCGCCCATCATAGCTCCTTCCTGTTTTAACTTCAACAGTTCCTTTGCTCTTTTAGCAGAGAGTCCTTGTATGAGTCCCTTGGCTTGCCTGAGTCCAGTCAAGGATCCCCAGTATTTCTTGTACTTCATATTTGTTCAGTCCCTGATTGCCTTTCTGCCAACTCCTATAGAGATGCCACAGGCTGGTTCAGGTCCAATCTTAGCCCATTGATCTGCTGTTTCATTTCCAGCAATGCCCCAGCGCCCATATCAGTTGTACCCTGTTATGTTTGACCAGTTCCATGAGGGTTCGGTAGCAATCCCAGACCAATTTTGAGTTGATCTTAAATTGGTTAAAATTTAACACTGTTCTTACAAGCATTTGGCCAGGACAAAACAAAAAAATGCATAAAATCAGGAAAAACAAACACAAAATTGAAGTTTCTCCATAACAGGAGTTGTATGTTTAGTAAGAAGATCTTATATCATCAGTGATAACAGTCACTAAGGTATTTTGTGTGCCATACATTCCTACAGATGATTCAGTGAGCGCCGATATCAAACTAGAGACTGAGACTGAAGATGGTGGAATTGGAGAGGATGTTCCGTCTACTCTCTCCCCCAACATGTACCATCCTCGACGTGCCCTTCGAAATGCCATAAATGAGTGGTTAGAGGAGTTCAGTAGGCCAAAAGCAGTGTGGGGTCCCATTGCCAAACCTCAACAGTTGGTTGCTGCTGCCGTTCCTGTTCCCATTATTCCTTCTGTCAACACTTGTATGAGTGTGACAACCACCACCACTACCAGCTGCTCGTCTGGCAGCATTCCAGTTGTTAATTCAAATCAGCTGCAAGCCTTGGCAGAAGTATGCAGCTCGGTAAGTAGATGTGAGACGTACTGCTGGTTTCAAGGTATAGTAATAAGTTATATTAATATTGTGGATGGATGGTTGGTTGGGGTGTGATTCAGTGCTGGGACAAGACATTTTTTGATACTTTGCAGAATGGTCAGGGCATGAAGCTTACCGTTTTTCTGTTTAATGCCAAGATAAAAAATCATGGAGCTATGCCTCCCCTCCCCATATGTTGTAATGGCATAGTGCTTAATTAATTAAGTACAGGGACATCTTTAGCTCTTCTACTGTTTATGTTAATGTAGCAGGAATGGGGTATTCTGGTGACATTTCCTATTTGTCACTGAGAAATGGTGCCAGCCAGCCAGCCAGCCATGTTGCTCCAGGAAGTACCTGGAGGTCTTCCTCAAGTAACCTCAGCAGTGGCATTTTTTATAGTTTTTTGCTTTTAGCATGTGTGTAATTGTTTCCTCATTCCAGCAAATGACCTTGGTGGTGTTTTGGCTCCTTGATATCGTAGTAATCATCTTTTGTGTGGGTGCCAAACTTGGTGTCACTCAGGAGGAAGAACCCAGATTGAGGATGTTGAGAACAAGGTGCTGAGGGCACTCTCTGAACCTGAGAAATCAAAGTAAAACATGAGGATAGAGAAAACTGAACTTAACAATTTGCACCATTCATATAACTTCATTTGGATGGTTTAATCAAGGAAGAAATGATAAATATGGTCACAATTTTGATTTGGAAACCTCAGTAGGAGACTGTATGGGAGACCTATGCCTAGCTGAGAGGGTAGTATTGAAATGAATCTTAGAGAAAGTGGGTGTGAGGGTAGGGACTGGATTGAATCGACTCGGGATAAGGTTTGATGGTGGGCTTTTATCTGAAAATGAAATGGCTGTAGATCAGCAATGAAGCATAGGGTGTTTGAATATTAACCTTTAACGTACGGACTTTTAAATTGCCGGCAGCCCCCTACGTCCAGAATTTAAATGGCCCTAAGTCTTTAACATCGCAGACTTTCAGAAAAAAATTCATATTTTCCGTTCTATGCAACATAGAAATATGAACTAAAAAGAACCTGGAAGACAATAAAATTTTCTACATATACACAAAAGAACAAGTTTTACAAATGAAAATTAACTGGGTTTATTTTGTCATGACTTGTAAAATATAATCTTTATTATATATATGTTATGAAATTGCAAAGGACTTACCTGTTGTTTTTCTTCAACCTTGAATCATGGTGATATTGTAAATATTGTGACGCATTGCGCTATGGAGGACGCCCCTCAGTGTTGCTAGGCTATCGGCAAACACGGCGACCAGGCAACAAGGAAGTGAGGTGTTTCCTGTTGCCGGGTGAGGGTTTATAAGAGAACTACACAGCCTACGAAGCGAGTTGAAGTGTAGCAGCTGCCGAAGACAGTTGGAGTATAGCAGCAGTCGTGGAAAGAAGAACCAGACGCGTGTGTGATAATCAGTGATAGTTTGTGATAACTGAGAAGTAATTGGGAATGTGTAATACAGTGACACTTATATAGCTCCCGTGTAATTAATACGTGTAGACTACTTAGGACAGAGTGAAGAGATTATTGCGAATAGGGTTATAAAGTGTGAAACCACGCAACAGTGTTATAATCGATTGTAGCCGAGACTTGTAGGTTAAATAAACCAATTAACAATCCGAACGGTGTCTTCAGTAACAAAACACGTTACAATATAATCACACTATATACAATAATATTTTGTTCAGACTGTATGTGAGTTTGAACTGCGTCACTTCACAGTTTACGATACCTCACACTCTGACGCGCGTGTGCCACTTCTTGAAGCAGTCCACCACGCAGAGCACAACATTACACTTTTTACAATAGTAGAGCGTGCTTCTGCTTTTCTTATTTTGAGAACAAACACAACGTCTTTGTTTCCCTTTGGTTGGGCCTGGAGCATCTTGGCATGCCATAAATTGGTGGAAATATCTATTGGTTTTTTGTAACAAGATCTGGAATATTTGCTGGAAAAACAGAATGAAAATGGAAAAAGGAGAGGACTGTGCATTTATATTGGGAGCAGCTGATCTGTTGATTCCACTCGGAGGACCAGTGAAGTCTAGTACCTTTGGCGAATCCCTGGGTCTTCTATCACAAAACCTAATTTCCGTTTCCTCTGCCTCTTTGTCTGATTATGATGACATATTTTCTTGAGGTTCAATGAACTCATTGATATCTTCTAACTCTTCATCAGATTCCTCTTCCATCAATATTTCCTCCAGTTCTTCTGCATGGAGAAGTTTGGAATACCGGGCACGTTTTTGAGGTTCCATCTTGGGGGGAGGGTGGTTTCCAGCAAAATCTAATAAATTTTGTTGATTGACAAAGACTCGCAAAATAGTGATGCAAAGTAACTGTAATAGTGTGGTACAATAGGCCGGAAGTGGCTGCAGTACAAGGGACTTAGTCCCACCCCACTAGCAATAAAAAATAATAACTGTAATAGTAGTCGAAAAGCGTGCCAGTCTGACACTGATACCGAAAGTTTCAGTGATGAAAATGCATTTTACTCACAAAGTAATACTGGCTCAGTGGGTTTATACCTCTTCTGAGACACAATAAAAATAATATACAAAGAAATATATTACAGTCTGACACTAACTTTTTAAGTGATGAAGAAATTTTACACAATCCAACACTGACTTCCTAACTGATAATTCGCCACTGAAAAGCAATCCTTGAATATGTCACACTTCCTTGAAAGCTGTGGAAGCACTGATCTGCAAGCGCCAATGAATATTTCCTCTTCAGTTCTCAGAACAAAGCTGGGCTATATTTGGCTGACCTGGTCATAAACAGTCATATATAAACGTAAATAGTATCGAAGACAGTACCCTGATAAACGATTTCATTGTTCAGAGCTAACAAATAAACCTCTGACATGAACTTGCGTGTGTTTGTTTTGGTTTCAAAACCAAGATTGAACTGTCAGCACTCCCAAAGAGTGTAGTGTCCTGGGTCATATATATATTGTAGCGTGTTGTGTGTGTCACGCTACAAATAAGTTTACGCCGTTGTTTGATATAGCGAATTTATTCCACTCGCTCACACCTTACAATCATTACCACTTGCAGTGTTACAAAGACTGCTTACAATATCTCGGCCATACTGGACTGTCTTCTCTGGCAGTTTCTAGCAGACTCACTGTGTGAATGCATTCAACCCCGTTTTATAGCCTCGGTCGCTGCTATGCAACGAACCCTCTGTTGTAACCATGGAGACTCCTGTTAGAACTACAATAGAGCGATTGTTGTTTCCTATGCAACGGTCTGTTCTAGCGTTTCCATAGAAGTGACTCTTCTGGATTCCAGACACGTTACATTGCTCCCTTCTAAAGGTTGTTTGTCCCCGAACAGCCTAAAGGTTCTCCCTTGGTTTCGATTCCGCGGTGTTCTGTTGACAGCGTCTGCATTCGGTCTTGGTGTCTGCTGGCATCTTTGTGCGCTGTTCGCCTAACTGTATATATATATATATATAACATTCGGCCAACACGGGTTGCTGCTTGATGCATATATATATATAAAACATTCGACCGTTAAAGGATAAATTAGATCAGTAATAAAGTACTGGATGGCAGGAAAGAAGTGGCATTAGATCAGTAATGAAGCATATCTGGGCATTAGTTGAATAAGTAATTTTAGAAGAGTCTGGGATTCTTTTGCCTGGTACATATTTTGGAACTGTACTATATATACGTGGTGCAATCCAAAAGTTCCCAAAATACATTAATAAAAACTATTACATCTTACCTAGATCTTATTCTGCACCATCACCTTCAAAGTAGTCCCATTGGGAGCACAAACACAGATCCCAGCGTTTCTGCGACTTTTGAAATGCATCCTGGAAGTCTTTCTTTGTTAGGATGTTTAGTACCGTCTGCGTTTCCGCTTGAATTTCCTCAACTGTATCACATCTTCGCCCCTTCAACTTGATTTTCATCTTGGGGAAGAGAAGTATGGTGAATACGGTGGGTGGGGAACAACTGCCATCTTGTTTTTGGCCAAAAATTCCTGCACAATGTAAGCTGTATGCGGTCGTGCGTTGTCATGGTGGAGTACCCAGTTGTTCATGCGCCACTTCTCTGGACGTTTTCTCCACGTGTTCCTCAAACGCCCTAGAACATTGCGATAGAACTCTTTATTGACTGACTGACCAGGAGGGACAAACTCCTTATGAACAATCCCGTCAATATCAAAAAAACAGATCATCATGGACTTGNTGCTTTACCGTTTCTCACGGTGTTGTCGCTTGCAGATTTCTTATACTTTTTCTTCTACCCTGAAGATGGGGGCGATACGTTCCTCCGAAACATCGGTTAACACCACATATACACGGTGCCAAATCCCAGAAGACTGCTTTCTTCATAGTCACCGCCGTGAAAGCCTCAAATCTTACATACGTTGCTGCTTCTGTTCATTTTGCAGCAGTCGTGGCACAAACTTCGCCACAATCCTCCTCATGTTCAGTTCCTCTCACAAATTTCGTTGACATGTACCATAAGTTAGTCCCAAGGTGTTACAGAGCTATTGGATGGTCAGTCTACAATCTTGCAGAATCAGATCCCTAACTTTCGCGACATTTTCTGGTGTGGTGCAAGTTGACGGCCGTCCCAAATGATCTTCATCATCAGTCGATGTTTGGCCATTTTTAAAATGCTTATACCAGTTGTAAGTTTGTGTCTGGCCTAAACTGTTTTCACCAAAAGCTTGCTTCAACATTTGGTGCGTTTCTGCAGTGGTTTTCCCAAGTTTGAAACAAAACTTTATACAGACACGCTGCTCTGTCAGGTCAGCCATCGCAAAACTGCAAACTCACGGAAACATAACAATGGAAAACGTTCACCAACAATAAACCAAACCACTCAACTCGACGCCGCTTGCCACACTGATTCAAGAAGGATGTGTGAGGAGACACCTAGCCGTATTCCGATATACTCATAACTATTCGCGCGCAAAATTCAAATTTCGATAACTTTTGGATTACGCCACATATTATGCCAGTATATTTGTAATTGTGTAATGTATTTGTTTTGAGACAAACTTTTCATAGTGATCATACTTAACCGGGATCCTCATTGTCAACAGGTCACCAGCAATAACACAGACAGCTTGATACAACCAAGCCCTGGTGCAGTTATGAATTCATTGGTCTCGGAAACCAAGGTCTGTAATAGAATGAATTGGAATGAGTACAACTGACATTCTGTTCACTTAGGGTTACTTGGGTTCCTGGACTTTATCCATCATCTTGTATTCTGAACAAGCTATAACGTAGGGCGGGCAATGATTAAGATGACCTCTTCTAGGGGGCTTGTATGAGCAGGTGCCCCCATCTCATTTTCACCCAAGGACAAATAAAGACCCAGTTTGTATAATGTTGCGTTCCCTTCAGATAGTAGCTGATGGGAAATTTCCAGAAACCCAGTAATTTTGATTGTAATATACCATTGTTAGAATCCTTTAAAATTTATTCTGTTTATTACATTCATAAAGTTGGAAGGGGAAACTGTGTGGTAAAATGAGTCTCCTTCAAATTGTTTGTAGTGAAAAAGAAGGGATTTAAAAAAAAATTAGTATATAAGCTTGAATGAGTGAATGAATAGGGGGTGGGCTTAGACTGGCCTTTGCGCCGTAATCATTCATCTATCTCTTTTGTGCATCCCCCTCTGTTTCTACCCCTTAAACATTCCTACTCTTCAGATTGTAGTGTCTTAAAGGGCCGCCTTTTTGGTCACTTGGTTCCATAAAGTGTGGCCCATGTGTTGTTTAGGCATAGTACTTGAAGTTGAATTGGGATCCGGTAGAGTGACTGGCTGAGGGCTGGACATCCGAGGTGTCGGAGTTCAAGTCCTTGTAGGGTCAAGAATTTTCTCCTGTCCAAGTCTTCCAGACAGGCTCTGGGATCCACCCAACCTTGTATCCAGTGATACTGGGGGCTCTTTCCCCGGGGGTTAAGCGGCCTGGGGTGTGAAGCTGACCACTCACTTCCAACTAGTGCTGAAGTGGAGCTATACATCCAGTCCCCCATACCCCTTACTGGAGTCGTGCTTAATTAGTTAATCACAGCGACAACTTTACCTTTTACTTCAAGTTGAATTAATTGTAGACATATACCATAAATGTCAACTCATAGAATTTTTAGCTATGATTTATTGTTAAGTAATGATGAATATTATTTTTTTTTTCCACAAACCAACAAAGGAACTTGATGTCTTCATTGATAAGAGATATGCTGTTACAGGTCATATGCAATGATTCTACTAAGTCCAGCCCCCTTGTTAGCAGTGGGATCACTACCACCAGTACATCCACAGGTGAACCCATGGACTGTAACCCCACACCGCCTCACTCTTCTCCCACGCATACAGCCAAGAGTTCCTTAGAAGGGGGTGAAGACATCTCCATGGCTGAGACAGGGTCTTCAACAACTGGAACGGGGACAAGTATGCAGGTCGAACCTGTTCAGCCCACAAATAATTGCAGCTCAAGTACGATGATAGTGGAATGTACGAACGATGGCAGTACCAGTCTGCCAGAAAGGTTAGGAAACTTCATTATACAGGCGTCATGGGAGACTTTGTTATAACATACATATGATGGCCCAGCATGTCCAGTTGATTTTATTTGAATTTGCATTGGGGTTGCCACTTATTTCGTGGTCATTCCCTAGCAACAGGTCTTCGTGCCACAATATTATCATTTCTTACAGGACACATGATGCACTGAAACAAAGAATGCTTACTTATTTGTGACCTGCCACATAACTTACATTTATGCAGCCTGTTAACCTTGGACAGTTTCTTGCTACAGTAACCTGAGATTATATGACAGTGATAAATTTTGAACTTAAAACTTTTTTATGCATGAAGGAGGATATGAATATGGATTTGTATGTTGATCCAGTAATGACTGGAAGAATGAAGCATCTTCTTTTTGAGGGCTGTAAATATATCTCAGGTTCATGCATATAAACAGAAGTTTGTCTCCAGGTGGGTATACCTCTGCTGTCATCCTCACAGAGGGTTGAACATAACCACAATAATATGGCCAAATTTTAATGTGAGAGCTGGGATTAGCATTAAGTGCAATGGTCTGTCAGTTTGACTACACATGTTAACATTACATGAGTGTGACACAGCTGCTAAGGTTAAAGTTTTCCTTACCTTAAGGTTCAATCTCATTGTCTCTGATAGAAATATTAAATGGAGATTTCACTGATCTAGCTCATAATCAGTTCCATGACATTTGTTACTGCTGTACTTCAAGGTGATATTCATTGCTGTTGCAGGACAGGAAAGGACCAGCTAACCCATGAAGATCTTGCCTTATTGTGTGACCTGTTCTACCTTCCATTTGAACATGGTGGTCAAGGATTGCAGCTGCTACATGAATTTAATTGGTTAAAGAGTAATGCTCATCTTGTGACGCATGCCAACTGCTTGAAAAAGAATGCAGCAGAAGATAAGGAAGCACCCAACAAGCCAGAGGTTATAAGACTTGCTCATCACATAAAAGCAATAACTGTTCAAAGCTTTATCTTATTATTTTTTTTAGATCTAATCTAAATCTGTTTGTTAGTTGTATGCATGCATTTAAGCCCTTTTTTACTTTCGTTTATCAGGCCTATCTGGCATGAGAGAAAACAGTTTGTAAGATACTGCCACAGTATCAACCCTTTGCACACCAGGTACTGACTAGATCGCCTTGGGTACTTCCGGTAAAATATTTACAACTGAAGAAACTGGCTCATCAAGCAATCAGTATAGCATTTCTGTTGATAGCATGGAATGTGACATACTGATGTTTAGATTGAAAGAACAAGTGATTATATGAAATATTTCAGTTTGGAGGTCATTTCAGGAAAGTGTTGTGGGTTTTTCTGTGCAACTACATTTGCCATCAAGCAGCTTGGTGCTATCAGTGGGTTGATGCAAATTTAAAAAAAAAAAAGAAAGAAATTATGTAAAATGTAAATGAGACATGTTGGATGAATAAAGCAAAAAGTTAAAATTTAATGGTCAGAGTAGCAGTTGGAAGATTTAAAGTTTTCACTGCGGTGAGTAACAACATGATAGTGTTCTGGGATGTGATAATCATGTAATTCGGTAAATAGGTACCAATATTTATAGGCGGAAGATAGACTAATTCATCTTCCGAGAAGATGGAACTTGTTTACCAAACTACATGGTGTCACATCCCAGAAGACCAGTCAATAAAAACAGATAGTGCAGTATAGAAATTATAACGTTTTCATTCCTGTTAAATATAGTTGAAAGTAGAGTGCCAGTGGTACAGATGTACAGATTTCATTCGATATGTAGGATTTAAGGTTCTCACAATGACAGTTAAAAATTGTTATCTTCTGGGATATAGCACTGTGTAGTTCGTATATCAACCACCGTTTTGGAGGAACATATCACCTCCATCTTCAGGGTCAAAAATCAGTGGAGAAAGAAACCAACGAAAGCAGGTGTCTAGGCAGAGTGAGGGTTCAGTCAGGATGACAGTTATATAGTGACCAGAAGGTAAGAGGAAGGTATGTTGCCCAGTCCCCATTGGCTGGCTACTCACTCTCTCACCTGGCTTCACAGGCGAGCCAGTAGGAATATGTTATTGAGCTTGAATTTGCAGAAGAAATCAAAATGTAAGCATGGAAAAGAGTAACATATTAATTGTGGGCTTTGTTACACTTTTAGGTTGTTGAATGGATGGAGCGTGCTGTCCGTTTGGAAGATATGAGCTGTGCCCTGAATAACCTCTTTCGAAGACTGACATTTTGTGCCAACAGGGAACTCTTGTATGACCTGTACCCTTACGTGTGGGACATGCGTGGTGTTGTATCACTTCTCAATTCCTATGTGAAATGGCTTGGTAAGATTGCATTAATCAGTCTAAATCATATTTATCTCCGTGTTTCATCATGCAAGGCATTTTTCTGTTATGAAAATAAATGGAAGTTACTTGAACAAGTTTTTATTTTTGGCACAAGGAAGAAAAATGAACAAATTAATTTTATTGTATGGTAAGAAGTCCAGTGGTTCCAGAATTGGATGTATTGTCTGTTATGTGTTTTTTACACAAATTGTACAAAGTAAATGCATATTGGAGAGATCATATCTCTTCACATGTTTCATCTCTGAAACGTGTGAGTGGATTTCAATTAAATTTGGTATTGAGAAGTATACACCAGCAGAAAGTTGTCAGGAAAATTTAATCTCAGTTGATACTGGCCCCATGTAACCCCTGTGGAACTGTCCAGATATTATACATTTTTCTAAAAGAAAAAATGAATGAATGCCTTTATGTGCTCAGTTGGTACATGCCAAAGTCACACACATTAACCCCATGACCAAAAATACAAAATTATGTTCAGTTTGGTCAGTAAAGAGAAACTGAAGAAAATGCCTTGTTTCATTCTTTTGTAATGATACATTTCACCTTGTTATGTATTATTGTAATAATGTTGGTGCTGTTTCTAAAATATATACACAGTATTTTTTTTTTTTTCCAACTGGTGGATATTCATTTCATACATACTGGCAGACTTGTCAAAAGTTGCACATCTGCCAGTGTATCGCATGTTTCAACCTTGAGCCTATAACCAGGCATTAACAGATTTTAGAGAGAGAGAGAAAAAAAAGCACTGTATACACATGTATATACCAATGGCTCCCAACCTGAATTTATTAACCTCCATTGGTCTAAGAAAATTGGTAGTTATTTAATAAGCTGACCTTAATTAAGCATTGAAATGATTTGAATTATGCTGTAAGAATTAAATATGCATGTCTATTAATCAATGTCTGTTTAATATTAGTTATAACTAATAAAACAATTTGGATTATTACTAAAAAATGGAGATTAATCGTACAGTTAGACTCTTTTTGTATGGATTTGTGATGGATGAATTTTATTGATGGATGTTACAGAAACCAGAAGTACTGGAGTTTGGAAGGTACAGATTTGAAGTTAACACTGTTCTTCTGCTATGTCTCTGTGAGAAACTGAGTTGAAATCTCTTGAAACATACCAACAGGTTTCCACATACTCACTTATCAGGATAAACCATTATATTTCATTATGCACACTATTCTTTGGATTCCCTTCCTCGTCATTTTTCTGTCTTGTTGGTATATTTTGAGAATATTCTTCTCAGTTGGGGCATGCCAAACTTGGTTTAGAGAAAACTTCATGTGTCTTAGTAATGTTGTTTTTCTGTATAGAAGATGAACGGTTTTGAAATGTATTGCATGAGATACATGTATCTTTATGTTCAGCCAGACACATCTGTTATAACACATGAAATTTTGTCTAAATGCATTAATATGTAGTGGTATTTGACATGCGCTTTGTGATCATTCTCAGTTGTGTGCAGTCCAGAACACAGTTTGTTGGTTGGATAATTGTCTCCTGAACACATTGGCCTCCTTCAGGAATGCCGTGTTTTAATTTAATAACTTTGTTTATATTTATTTTTTATTTTATTAAGGTTCAAATTTTGTTATTCTTAGATCACCAAATTGTGAGTAGGACTGTAGCACATGGCACAACATAAGCACTTCATATTGAACTTTTACTACATTCCTGATTGGAATTGTTTTGATTTTAAAATTTTAACGAGTTTATTTTATTCCGGCAATGTAAGTTTGAGAGCGTTTATGTTTGTTGTACCTGAAACTGCATTAGCGTTGGCTGAATTTGCCAGAAGTTAAGTGCTAGCAATTCATTGCCATATTGTTTGAGTGCATAGATGTCAGAGAACTGACAGTATTGTTTTGATACAAGTAATGTTTTACTGCTCTGGGACTATAGAATGAGAATGTTAGTAGGAGTGGGCATTTTTATAGAATATTTGGTTGAGCATGAAATTTTATAAGCTGAACATATTCTGTTCAAGTGCATTATTTTACATTATGTAATTATGAAGGTTCAAGTGGTTTGAATTGCAAGTATTTGATTTTGGTGCTTTTTATTTTGTACGCGCGCGTTGCGATGAACTGCATTTGCGGACAGCTTTCCCATCTCAGAGAGGCTCAGTAGACAGACCATGTTAAACCTTCTTTGAACCAGTGCTAAAAACGGTGAAAGTTAAAAGTATCTGTGATTTGTTTTACTGTTTTCTTTCATATTTATGATTGAAAAACAACAGAAAATTCTGTTTAGATCTTGTAATATCACTTTGTCAACTATTTAATCTGGCTAATGTTTTGTAACATCCTTCTTGGACTTTTGTTTGAGAAATTAAAAGATTTCATATTGTCATTAATTAATATGTTGGGATCCAGTGGATAATCTTATTATGGTTAAGAATTTGGTACTGTATTTAGTTTGTGTTTTGTCATTATTTTAATCAGCAACCTTGGGAAATTGTCATATACTTTGTCTTCGTACTTATTTCATTTGATAAATATTTATAACAATTATAAAGAGAGGGAATTTTAATAACAGTGTTGTTATATGATAACTGCATGATGGAAACTGCAAAGTCCATTAAACATCTGAACTCTAGGTGGCATGGTGTGTCTCACTTTAAGAATAGACTGCAACAGTGTTACAGCGTAACAGAACAGTTCTGTTGGGGCTGCATGTAAGGCTAAAAATAAGCCAGTAAGGATTTGAACAGTTAGGCAGATTCCTAACAGCAATCCAAAATTTTATCATGCTCTTATATTTTCTGGGGTTTGTAAGAGTTTGTGAACTATTATTTACTTGTCTCATTTTACAAAAACTAGTGTTAAGCATTTAATAGTGACACATTTTTTTGCTACATGATAGTATGAGATAAAACTTAAACTAAGGAAATGGCTTTTTGATTATATTATGGGGTAACCAGACAAGAGTTTTGTTAGATTTGAGACACATAGCATATTATTATTATATTAATGAGTATGATATATATTGTCACATGTTAGTGACGAGACATGGGGTTTGGGTTGATAATTGGATATATTGAACACTTATAACTCGTAACTACAAATGGTTATACCACTGTCAGTAATATACATACTCTACACATCACTAATGCAAACAATAAATCTCCTATGTCTTCACTAGTCATTGATATGTGATGGCTGCTAACAGTGCCACTCAAGGCTGTAACCACCAACTCTTATCTGTGGCTTCCAGCCATCAGCTTCTGGCTTAAACTCTTGACAGACTCTCTCCTGAGCAACTTGCCCATTGGTCCTTGTTTTATAGCCTTGGAATCGGGACCATATAGAAAACATCACTTCAAGATTTCCTCTACTGTTGCTTGACATGTTAAGTGGCTGTTGCCTCGTGATAGCCTTAGTATTGTTGATGTGGGCATGTTTGTCAGTTGCTATGGAAATGTGTTTACCAGCCATCGCCTAGATGTATTTTCTGGATTCACATTTCCAGCTTTTATCCATCACGTCACAGTATTTACAATTAACAAACTGTGAGTTGCTGTTACTAGCATCTTACAGAAGACACAAGACTACATTACAGCCTTGTTTGGGAAAATTAAACTGAAAAATGTTACCTCCTGTTGGTGGTACTGTTTGGAAGTTATGCCCCATATGACAAACATCAGTCTGTTCTTAATACTGGCTGTACCATGGATCATGTAATTTATAGTCTTAATATTCATGTAACAAGGGTCATGCAAAGTTATTGGATGTTCCTAATGTTATATGACACAAGAAGTTTCCCAAGGTTGCAGTATCATACTTGAGTAGTATTGTGTATCAGATCTAATGGCAATGTTTTCTCTCTTCTTGCTCTCTCTGTGTGTTCTGCAGCGAGTGGCCAGTTCCCACACATGATGGCAACCTTCACACTTGGCAGCTATACATGTACGCATCTCCACAGTAATGCCAACCGTAACTCTCTTTTGTTAAAGCGGCATTGAGATTCTGCCGCCAACATAATGATTCTTTAGTTTTCTTGGATGTGAAACCAGTTTTATTCCTTCCATATTCATTGGCTGTAGTAGTAACATTTATCCCATTATGTAATAAACTAATCAGAGATGTGGCCCACTTTTACAAAGTCACAGTAGAAGGGTGGTTCCCCCCCCCCTCTCCAGATTTTGTGTAATCGCTATATTTTGAGTCAGGATCTTTATTTACCTCATATGTACATTGTCATTTGAAACAACATACATACAGAAATGTAAAATTATTCAAATATTATAGGTAAAGGTAACAAGGTGAAGTTGACCCTGCACTTAATTAATCATCATCCCATAAGGACATATGTGGGAGTGGAATTGTAGGTCCACACGTTCTTAATCTTGGCAGTAGACGGAAGTGAGCTGTTGACTTTATGCCACAGCTGCTTTACCCCTAGTGAAGGAGTCCCCAGTACCCATTGGTTAGGAGGTTTGATGTGCCCTGGAGCTTTTCTGGATGCTTCTCTGGCCTCTGCTGGGAATTACGCCGTTGTTCCTTGGCCATCCAGCCCATAGCCTGTCACTATACCGCCTTAGCCAAACTATTATAGTATTGTATCAAACCGTCACAAATTAACGATCACATTCAGATTATTGAAACACAAAAGGAAGGAGGCTATAAGTCAATTTATGCCTGAATCTGTTTACAGGCTGTCCAACGCCTTCATATTCTGATGTTAGAAAAGTGAAAAACCATTTAATTATTTTTATCCATTTGATTTGACAGTAATCTGCGTGAGATATTTTGGGTATCACCCAGAATTATATGCAGTCCTCCCCTCTTTCCTTGCATCTGTTCAAGTCAAAAACTATGTGAATGTGAGTTACAGCTGCTCTGCAGGATGTTTTAAATCTCATGTTAAGCTGTAAGTCTCTCTTGTGAATGGTCGTTTATCATCTTCCTCGTGACCTGCTGGTCCTGCCTTATGGTTAATTCTGTCAAAAATGTACGTACCTTGTCAATATGGATGAGGCTTGGATGAAAGGTTGTAACCCGAGTTGTAAGTCATGATGAAATTTTGTGCTAGTAAAGAAATCAGCTGTGTGCTCAACAGTTTTGAGCTGTAAATACTACATGGAATAAATATTATGCTATAGCCAATGGATTGTGGGGCTGTTTTGTATTTGGTAGGGTCAAAGCCACATGTGCGCCGCGCATTGCGTTATAACAGCTGTTTGAGACTGAGTGCCCACCTAGACTTGACAGTCCTCGGGAGGCCGAGGAAAGTGGAGACTACCATCCCATTCAACGAGATTTAGTAAACACAAAATCTTTCTTTTCTAGGAATTCGAAGAAACAAATAAAGAGATGAGTATCCAAAATGCTGGCTATTTCCATTAAAAAGAGTTTGCCGATTTTGAGAATAGACCTTTTTTTTTTAATTAATTTTGAGGGAAGTTTGGATAAAATTATTCCAGAATGTACCAACTTCAAAGGATAATATTACGATGGAGAATACAAGATCTGGAAGTTCATGGCAATACTGACATGAATGTAATGGACAGAAGAAAAAGCTGCTTTTTAAATATGTTTTATTTTACAGTTGTAATTTTTTGTCTTTCAGGAAACACTGTTGTGATGAAGTTGTAGTGTGTAGGCTTGGAGTTGGTAATTTTTGGAAAATATTCCTCATAGTCTCTTCTCAGGATAGCAAGCTCTTTCCCTCTCCCCACCCCAACCTTTTATTTGGATCTGGCCAGTATCTGTAATGTTGTAAGAGAGATTCCAAGTTTTCTTTTCAGATTTTAAAAGACAAAGTGTTTTGTAGTTCTTGTTACCTCTTTTGGATGGTAACAAACATTACCTGAAGGAAGAGGTTTTCTATTGTTATTTGATATTTAATAATTGCGCATTGCGTTGTGATTTGTTAGGATTTTGCGCTACTTGCGTAATTATTCTGCTGGCTGTTGCGTAATTGTGCCTAGTTAATGGATTCATTTTAATGTAAGGTAGGCTCCCCATGTCTTCTGCTCTGCAATTAACATGTGGCTGTACGCATAGGGCGTTCCCCTCTATACAGACTTCTTAGGTGCTTTGTGCTTTCTCATAGCAGGCTCTGAATTAAGTGAACCACATCTTTGGTAAATTTTTTTAAAACTGCTCTTTATTTTATTGGGTAAGTTCAGCTTGCAAAGATAAAATTCATGTGACTGGTTCATTTCAGTTTGATCCTGTTGTGGGTTTTACTCTTTATTTGAATTGAAGGTGAGGTTATGTGCATTCATATAGTTCAAGAGGGTACATTATTTGATTTAAGTTCCCTGTGTAATAAGTGCAAAAATGATGTCTCTCGTTGGTTTTTAATTATGTTATTGAATTATGAGAGAATTTTGCTGTTTTGCGACATGTTCACATCATAAGTTAGCTTGTCAATATTAAATGAATGTTCTGATTAAATATTAAATTTTAATAGTTTCATAGAAGTAGCTCAGAATCCTGGAAACTTATTCATCACTTTTGAAATCTCCACCATATCTCTTGAATTAAAAAAAGGAAAGAAAAGTAGACCATTCAGTACTTCAGTAATTCATTATGGCTTATTAATAAATACCTGGGAATAAAATATTGTACCCAGTTGACCTATGACATTGCCAAATAATGTAATTCTTTGCCCGTAAATCCGCAGCTCACTGTGGAATTTAATTGTATCTAGTATGTCATGTATAGGGTGTTGAAAAATGTTGATTGTTGTACCATAAATTGCTTTCAGTTGGAACATATGATTTGCTAGAAGGAATAAATGTTCAGTTTTAATCTTTCTGAATTACAGTCCTTAATCCATGCATCAGATATGTGTATTTTTACTAGTAATGTTGGTATAATTTGTTCACTTCTGTATGTGCCAGTGACATTTTTTAAACACCCTATAAATTTTGCTAAATCCAGTGAAGTTGAATTGTTGTCAGTGTGTTTGGTCAGCTTGTACTAATGTGTGGTTTGTTTGTTTGGGATGTTTGTTTTCGTGCTACTCTCTAGGGTTTTCCAAGGGCTGGAAGGAGACATTTATGAGTGGAGAACAGGAACCGTGGGTTTTCAGGGGAGGCCTGACGGCAGATCTGCAAGTATGTGGTAAAGCAGCACGTGCGCAGGCAGCTTACCTCTTAGGGTTGGATTTCCCATTACTGTACTCAGAAAGATATGCTTCAGTAGTATGTGCTATATATTGAGGCATGAATTACTTTTCCATGTTTTGAGTATTAACATGGGAAAGGGGGCAACTTCTGGTTGCCACAAGCACTGAGACCACTGCCGAGTCCATTGTAAATCGTAACTTTTGTAATTGTCTTTACAAAGAAAACTGAGCTAGATACTGACTACAGATAATGTGGAGTGCAACTTGCAGGTTGCGTAAAAAGTTATGTGTCATTCGGTTTATTGTGGGTACATAATGACTGCATGACACTCTCCAGCTTGCTGAAGTTGCTAAAGGTGCGTGGCGATGTGGAAAGAAAGCACAAGCAATGCGCAGAGCGTAATAAAATGTTTTATTGCATTTTTCAGATTGAGTTTAATTTTGCCTTTCAATAAACAATATTAACGTTGTTTTTTAGGGCAGTCAGCTGATTAATACTTTAATTGTTTGATATCGTCCTTTAATAAAGTCCGTTTTTGAAGTCTGGGATCCTCACAGTGGTGAGAATTAAGATTATGGCCCTCTGGGATGTTATGCCATGTAGTTTGGTAGATAATACCCAGGAAGATGGAGGAGCCAGTTCCTCCAAAATGTTGGCACCTTTCTGCCAAACTACACAGTGTCATATCTCAGGAGACTGTAATTTTAAATGATCCATAATTGAATGAATGTATTAATGAAACACGTTTTTTTAAGTATATATTTATTAATTTGTCTGTATGTGAATAACTAATAATTACATTATTTGAAAACTGAAGCTGCTAAATATGATCACATGTATTAGTTACAGGAAGTTATATGTTTGTTTGTTTGTTTGTTGCATAGGATGGGAAGTTTGTAACACAATATAATTATGATGTGCAAATGTGCATTGCAGTAATGTTTTCTGTTAATGTTTTAATTAGAGATATTCAGCATTGTGGCACTCGGATGAAGAACAAGAGACCTATTAATTAATAAAACTAATTAGCAAGTAATTTATTATCCAAACCAATTAATTGATTAATCATGACAGTCCTGTTTATCATATTTCTCAGATTTTGAATGGGGAAGAGTTTACCATAGCTGATTCAAAGAAGTACATAGTGGGAACATTAGTTAAAGCATCAAACCTTTTCTTTCTCCCAATTGCAGACTAATTTTGATTTTGTTGAGAGTTGTTGAACCTACCCCCTGTGCAGTTGTCTACTGCTGCATGTATACTTGTTATGTCCAGCTTTCTTTATAAGAAATGACATTTTATTTCACCTTCTCTGGTCCCTCTGTTGAGCTGAATATGACACAAGTTTTTTCACTGAGAAAATGCAGTCAATTAATTTTTGGCAGTTAGCCCTGCTGGTACAGAATCAAATTCTGAATTTCTTGTAGATTTCATAAATGGTTTGAGGAAGAGATAGCTAACTGGCAGAAGTGTTTGTTTTTTCTGGTGAGTCACAGAAAGAAATAAAGAAGCAAATTTTTTTGTTGCAGGGAAGGAAATTAGTGTTCAACATGTGCAGAATGATTTTTTTTTCAGAACAGAGGTGTTTTTAACATTTGTCACGGATTCTAAAAATGTCTTCAGAAGAACGTTTTCTTCTAAGTTAATACAAGGAACAAAACTATTTTAATTCATATCTCTCAGGAAGAGAATAAAAAAAATTGAATATTTGATACAACAATTAAAATGTGTCACTCTAGTTAATACCCTAATGGAAAGACATCTTAGGAGAAGCAAAAATTGTTAATTTCTTTCGGTCACAGTTTTCAGGGCACAGAATGGCTTGAGTGTATATACTCATAGCAATTAAAGTACTAGTGAAATGGACAATGAAATTTTAGTAGAAAGATTTGACAGTTCTCATCTTAGGCTGTGGTTTCCCCTGATAACTCATTGATCCAATCTTAAATATTGAAACCCTTGAGGGGCACTTTGAAATCATGCTTTTGATATATATGCACATCTTGAACTTCAGAAGTTTTGCAAAAACAGTTTGATGGAGTAGACCTTTAGACATTTTTTCAACAAAGGTTGATGCTGTATTAAGACTGAAGCGTACCGCGTACTTCCATTTATTGTTGCCATATTCTGTATCTATTTATAACTTACACAGCTCTTCAGTAACTGTGATCTGACGTGCAAATGTTACAAAAAGCACTGCTCTGATCAGACTAAGTACGTAAGATTAGAAGGACAGTTTCCTGTACCATGAGAACAACTAGTGTTCTAAGGCAGATGTAAGAGAACTTGTGTTCGTAAGTCTCAGAATTGGTCTTGTTATTGATTTTGAATAGAGAATATTATTGAGAACACTCTTAGGCATCTTCTGCATGTTTGCTTGTTATGTCCAGCTTTCTTTATAAGAAATGACATTTTATTTAACCTTTTCTGGTCCCTCTGTTGAGCTGAATATGACTTAAGTTTTTTCACTGAGAAAATGCAGTCAATTTTTGGCAGTTATCCCTGCTGGTACAGAATCAAATTCTGAAGTTCTTGTAGATTTCATAAATGGTGTGAGGACGAGATAGCTAACTGGCAGTACAGTACAGTATACACCATTGTCAGAATCCTTTCAAGTCTATCAGTCTTAGGCAGTTGATTGTGGGGATTGAGGGTTGGTGTGACAAGCAAGGATAAAAATGAGAGGTGATCTTTGGTATTATTTGCATTTTTTGGGTTTCACTATCAGGTGGTTATTTCTCGTAACAGTCTTACTCGCTCTGTGCAGAATTAGACATGGCTATAGTTCTGGTAAACCTTATATCTGTTGTATGAAAGGGTTTTTAGAACTAAAAGGTAAGGTTAAATCTTACGATATAGTATATGTTGTTAATTTCTTAAGAGCTACTGTAGTGATACTCTTCTAACGTTGTGCAGAGATTGCTTCCGGTTGACTCAGGAAATGATTTATTCATCTACAAACCACCAGATGTTCCAAGCAGCAAAATCTATACTATCCGCCCATACTTGGCAGCGGATGAGAGCCATGTATATGACATTTGCCGGCGCACATGTATGGATGGCATGGATGGAACCGACTGTTTCCGAGATGATCCCGATCTTGTCGGCAACAAGTAAGCACGTTTAACTGAACATTGTGGTTAATTTGTTAACACTTCTGCTTTGTGTTTGGAAGGTTTCAACATTCACATCTCTGCTCAGACACCAGCTTTCCTGACTGATTTCCTATGATTTTTCTCCATCACCGCAGGCAAACAATGGGTTAACTCGTTTGAATTGGGCTGTGACTACCTGTTCCACATCCTTTCTAATTTGTATTCACAAATCCTTTCATTCAGTGCTGTATAATGTTAGCAGTTAACAGAATCAGTAAATGTACCAAGATTAAATAACTAAATAATGCTGGTGCGATATCCCCATCTTGAGAGTAATATATCATTTGAGCAGAAACTGAAAGTCTGTGTGATCATAGGACATCCATCATTGGCCCTGTCCATGGCTCTTTTCAATTCATTCCTCAACTGCACTGCATGGAATCATATCCCAGAGGATTGGACTTGACAAATTTAGACAGTCTGAAAAGTTATGATGACTGGTGATATAACAGTATCTCTGACAGATTTTCCACAGGATATATAAAGCAGAAGTTCTCGCCATATGATTATCTTCCTGAGGAGGTAACTCACATGTGGTGGAGATGCATACTGGAGGAATGCTTATGTGAGGATAGAGAAGAGTTGAAAATTCTGCTGGTCAAATTTTGGTAGATGACGATTAAGTTGCTATATTACAGCAGTACCCAGGTGGATTAGTAACTTCGACTGTATGTGTTACATAAACAGAGTTTGAACCACTTTTAATATAATTTTGAGTATTTATGTTTAGGTTGGTCGGCGGCTTCCTGTCATTAACGCCCGAATTCTGCTTTGTGGTAGAGGATGACATTGGTTTGGTAGGTTATGCTTTGGCTGCTCTGGATGCAAAACAGTTTCATAAGAAACTGGAAATAGCCTGGCTTCCTGAAATGTGCCGTAAATATCCTCAACCTGAGAAGAGAACCGGGGAGACACTGTCCAGCGCAGAGGTAAATAAAGTTTGTGTTGTTGGTAAGATACCCATGTTCACTGGCTGGTCACGTTTAAATGTAACATGCAGTGTGCCCAGAAGATCCACTACCATATTCAGGGCTCATTTTGCAGCTTGTACAGTGATAGTCAGGAGCCAGATGTCACAAAATGTTTGAAAAATAGTAGACAGAAATCGCATGTTTCATATTTTCAGGAGCTGAAAATGTGGTTCCACACTTACAAGGGAGAAGTTCCAGAGTCCATACATAATCAGCACCCTTCTATCATGTGTTGTTCCCTGTTAACAAGTGTTTTTGACCAGAGTGTGGCGAAGAGATTAGTTACCTGTCTTCTGGCAGCTCTTAGAGCCAATGGTGAGTCTCATATTCATATCTTCTGTACTACAGAAAGTTGTTCACACGTTGCAACTCTGACGAAGACATAAATGTTGAATATATTTCAGGCATTAAAAATAAAAGGTAAAGCTACCCCTGTAACAGGCTATGGAGGCCTGCAGGGTTGTGAGATGTCGAGGCTCCCACATTATCTAGACACACAGCTCAAAGATGGTGGTGAGGTCAGCCTTATGAGCCGGCCACCCTTTACCACCAGCAAGATTCACGGTACTTATTTTTATTAGATGCTGAGTTGACCCTACGGCCATAGTGTGGCTGGAAGGATTAGGTCAATTGAAAGATCCAGTGATATCATCTGGAATTGAATCCGCGACCTTCTGGCTTGTAGTGTAGTGCCTCAGCCAACTGTACTACCGTGTGCAGGCATTATGTTAAATTAATGTTTGTTTAATTTTGATTTGTTTCATTCTGGTCCGTCACTAACAATTATAAATACAAACCACTCCGTCCAATGTGACATATAAGTTTTTACTACGTTAAAACTTATCTCCCTAACATGTTTTGGTCCTTATGGGCCATCTTCAGAGGGAACATCATTACGAACTGGAAACTACCGTCACAATAGGTGTTTTGATTTAAAATACATACACTTATATCCTATAATGCACAGTACGCATAAAGTCGAACGTTTCACAATCACAGCAGCTTCTTGGTGTTGTAAAGTTTTTAAAAGTTTCTAGATGTTATTTAAAAACCTTTATTGTCAATAGTTAAAATTTTTTTAAACCTCGTAGGTTCGTGTCCATACTCCTGTCGTCCTTCTTGTATGGGTCNCAGGAAGGACGATAGGAGTACAGACACGAACCTACGTGGTTTAAAAAAAAATTTTAACTATTGACAAGGAAGGTTTTTTAAACAACATCTAGAAAGTTTACAACACCAGGAAGCTGCTGTGATTGTGAAACGTTCAACTTTATGTGTACTGTGCATTATAGGATATAAGTGTATGTATTTTAAATCAAAACACCTATTGTGATGGTAGTTTGCAGTTTGTAATGATGTTCCCTCTGAAGATGGCCCGTAAGGACCGAAACATGTAAGGGAGATAAGTTTTAACGTAGTAAAAACTTATATGTCACATTGGACAGAATGGTTTGTATTTGTAATGTTTGTTTCTTATTCACTAAATTGTGGGGTTCAAGTTAATGTGATACTAAATACACTTCAACCATAATGTAATACAGTGCTCCAAAAAGCATAGCCCATAGTTAAATTCTATGGTGTAAGTTATATCCATGATGTAGATTCCCACACTGTAGCAGGTTTCTCTTACACAGTTTAACTCCCAGTTCCATTGATACCAAGTCAATAATCTCATTATAATTTACCTTCAGTTAACATATTCCACAAGCGGCCTCCATAGTCTAGAAGTAACGTTCCCACCTCATGACTCATAGTACGCGGGTTCAAATACCCGGCAGAGGTCATCGAATTTTTAAGGGCAGAAAAATTCAGGGAACGAGTCCTCCGGGAGGGACTTTAAGCCGTGGGTCCCGTGTCGTAGCTTTACGGCACGTAAAAGAACCTCATATCTCCAAAGGAGGTCACTGAGCCAAATTAACGGACGTTTCCCGCCCAACAGCAGTCTCTAATACCTCTCGTAGATGGGGGAAGCATTATAGATACCTCTCAGCTAGTAGAACCGGTCTCGCTGGCTGGGCGGGACTGATGGTAAGCACCAGTACCGGTAGGATATAGAGACTGGTAGAAATCATAGAGGGAAGCACAATGGACCAATACAGGTCTAAGTGCATGGGGAAACCCACCCTCTCCAATAACTAACTAACTAACATATTCCACAGTATTTGCTGAATTTCACATCGGTACATCAGCTACTAGACAACTAAACTTTTAATTGCGTAAGATGAGACTTTTATAAAAAGCACAGTGTTTTCTACTCTGGCGTTCTTACTTAGTAGTGGGTCAGCAAAATAAAGCCTTTCTTGTACGAGATACTTACAGCAGTGAATATTTCAATATTAAGATTGGTAGTGACTGGGATGTGACACCGTGTAGTGTGGTAGATGGATACCAGTATTTTGTAGTGTCTTGTTTCCAATTTCCCGCATCCTGAAGATGGAGGTAGAGGTTCCTTTGAGGCATTGGTGCCCACCTGCCAAACCACTTGATGCTATATCCTAGAAGATTATAATCTTGAGCCTTGTAATTTTTCACATATGTAATATAAGTAATGCACACACAATTTTGGTGGAGAGGCTGAGTAGGAATTGGGGATGAATATAACATGGAGCTTAGAAGAGAAGATCATCAGGTAGCAGATCATGTTTAGTACTTCGATGAATTTTTTCCCATTAATGTATATGAGTGTAATATTTTGTTTATATTTTTCAGGTTCGTTCGGCGTATATGTACCGGTGAACTCCAAGGACCGATACATGATTGAATTTTATGGCAAATTAGGGTTTTTGGAACTTTGCCCCGGTATCAGTCCAGATACAGTATATGTGGGACGAGCATTCTGAGCATAATCATCATTCCACTTTTGTTTTATAGATACATCACAGACATATATATATACTCGTGTATATATATATATATATATATACACAGTCTGCAGAACCTGATGCTGCAATTTGTTTGGCAGCAATGCACATTAATGTGTTGGGATTTTGATCTTAATTATTGCTCTGTATCATAACCCCTTTTTCTGCATAATATTGGTACATCAAGTTACCAAACCCATGCAGGACAAGTGTTTGAGATTTAAGATAGCAGCATTTTACAAGTCAGACCATAGAAAGTTTTCAGACTTAACAGTAATTTCATATCTTGAAATTATATCTACAAGTATTGAATAATGATATAATTAGATAAATGAAGATTACATACACAGAAGGAATTAGCAGATTGGTATCAGACAATGTGTTTAGTAAAATGATCATATTGGTTCCAGCAGCATATGGGACAAACTATTTAAGTGTTCTCAAATATAATACAACTTCCATTTTGAAAAACTGGGGAAGAAAAAGCGAATTTGAGTTTGAACACAGTCAGTTTTGTGGCACATAAAACAGGTCATCATTCTGGAAAGTATAGAATTTCACTGTTTACCATTTCTTATCATTTTGAATATGACACTTCAGAAATCTCATTAGGTTTCTACATACGGATCCTCTTCATCCATTCTCACACATTACAGCCCTTTGAGGGACACTTTGAAACCACTGTTTCACTAAGCATGCTCGCTGTGAACTGAGAAAGTTTCGGAAAGTTATCTTTAGAGTAAGCATAATAATAGTCTAGAGGTATGTTTTATCAGCAAAGGTCCAGACTGTAATTCTGACTGATGACACTTGTACCCACTGAAACACTGCCGTTCTATTGTAACTAAATGAGAACAGTTTTGCATTTGGTTTTCATAGAAACAGGAATGACAAACATTGCCTTGCTTAGACTAATTATGTAATGATGATTTGTAAGACTTGGCAGAGACAGAACTCTGTATGAGGAATGTGATTTCAAAAATGGTGATATCACTGCCAGCTTCTGTGGACCGTCTTCTACAGTTACTATAACTCCAGAACCTTCTTCAGTCTTTCATGATGTAGGAAAATAATATCTCATTTGTATGTTTTCACTATTTCTGGTTAAATGTATTAGTAACGTTTATATAGACACTTGTCTTGTGCCATGTAACAGTTGTTTCTGATATTGTCTGTGGTAAACGTATGACATCGAACTGTAAGGATGCGACATGTCTGTAAAACTATTTACTAATGCAGATCCTATTTTCAGTGAATTCGTACGTAGCTCATGTCTACCTGTGCATCCATTCATATTTCGTCCCTAAAATTATTTAATGAATTTTGATTAAATTTGATGTAGAAAATACATTTTAAAAGCTGTAGCTCAAAATTAATTATGGTCCATATCACAAGTATGTGGGGGCATGTGGTAGTGTAGTTGGTTGTGACACTATACTACAAGCCGGAAGGTTGCGGGATCGAATCCCGATGATGTCTGATTTTTTTCAATTACCTCATTCTTCCAGCCACACACTACAGCGCTGGGGTCGACTCAGCCTCTTAACAGAAATGAGTACCAGGAATATTCTTGGGGGTAAAGGGCGGCCGGCGCGTAAGGCTGACAACCTTACTGCCATCTATGAGCCGAGCGTCTAGAAAATTTGGGAACCTTAACATCTCACAACGCTATGGACCTCCACGGCCTGTTGCAGGGATACCTTTACTTACTTTACTTATCACAAGTATGTAATTGGAAAACTGGATTTAAGTACACAGCATTAACTGTTTCAGTCATTTGGACAAGTTATCTTAGTTCAGTTGTGGTTACTGTGGGTAAAGCCCTATGTTGAAATGGTAAAAGTTACGAGGAATGGTATTATTCTGAATCAATTCAGGAGTGAAAATAGAGTTGCAGCTTCTCCTGAAGAGTCTGCAATTTTTACAGTGTTGATGCAGTGCTATATACTGAGAAGACTGAAATGAGTATGGATTGTTTTGTTTTCATATTCATATGATTAACCAGTGTCTGACTCATTGATCATTCCTTACTTTAATTACTGGTCTCTGTAGTGTTCTGTTTATATCCATTATTTGAACATCCTTTACTCCATTATAGCCATCCACCAAGAACTCAAAATTGTCTTAATTTTTATGTGTAATTAAAAAATGAAACAGTTATAGTTGCTGTCACTGTTACCCCCCCCCCTCCCAAAAAAAGTGATTTGAAAGCCTTTTTGTATTCCTACTACTGTCTTGAGAAAGCCATGACATTTCTGTATGGTGCTGCCATCTTCTAGGAATCATAAGAACTACATGCAGAGAATGTCATCAACCTTGAAAGACACTGAGATATAAGAAACACAGCAGCAAAGCCCAGACGTTATCTGGGGTATACTCAGTAGGTACAGCAAATCATGGAAGAGTTTCAGGAGTACCACTGAAGCAGTTAATGAAATGTTTGCTTCTAGCATAGTACAAAATGGTGGACGTGACAGATATAGATGGTGGTTCTCATTAGCACAGTTAATACAGTTCCCCCCCCCCCTTTTTTTTTCTCCCGCTGTTGATCTAACCGGTCATGGCACATAAGTGTTTTAGACGTCAGCTGGAACTTTGGTTCCGCAAGATGGTGGTAATTTAAATCTCTTTTGAACAAGTAAAAACGCTCATTATGCATTTATGTGTTTCCTTGTCATGGGTTTTCCATACAGTATGACAATATTGTGGAACTTCATGGATATAATATTTTTGTCATTACATATATAGTAGTTAATGGAATACTATAATGTGATATTAGGTTGCTGTTTAAAATCATAATGTTATGTTTGCGACTGATAGGCTTTTCTTAAGTGGGAGTGGTTCTGTATTCAGCAGAGGTTCTATTAACAGCAATACTGCGTCAGTGAGCAGTAAACATGACTGTTATTTTGGGCACTGGTTCAGTGATAAAGAGACCAGCTTTTTCAAATTAGCCTAACTGAGTAACGGCCTTTTATTCCTTACACGTGATAATAGAAACAAATCTAGTTTCAGAAACATTGTATTTGAAAAAAGCTGATGGTGGACAGTTTCCAAAGTGGTAGTCATGTTTATTCTTATAGTTCTATTTGCAGAAAGAATGTATGTGTGAATGAGATTTGGTTGGTTCAAGAGGGACATGATAGTACTATAAGTCTGTCTTTTCTTGTAATATAAGGAAGTTTGGCTTGAAAAGTGTTATATTCAGTCATCATTAGCATAAAAGGCGAGAGAATCTTGTGGTCTCTGTGCAGCTATCGCCAAAATTATCTATACCATCGTTTGCGTACTATCAACAAGAACATAGGTAAATTCTTTTGTATAATTTGTTCATATTTTCCTCACATTTTTACTTGTCACTGTGTTGCTTCACATTATTTTCTGTATCCTTTTGATGCTAAATAATGGATAACAAATAAGCATTATATTTGGCTATGATAAAGTTAAGTTAAAAGAAGTTTCGTCAGGCAATACGCATATAATAGAGCTCTCATTGTTAGCCTCTGATATGTAGTACTGTTCAAGGAAGATCTTATTTTATTCCCTTTGTCCATTAGCAATATGTAAGCATATCATATCTGCTGTGGATGGAACTGAATAGTGAAATTAGAGAGAGGTGTATATTTGTAGTAGCCATGTTGGGCAAGAGATTGTCAGATATGTAAATGGTATTCCCTTTTGTGTGTGTGTGTGTGTGATGTGGTTAAATGGTGTAATTGACATCTGTGTTACGCAAGGCACAGAGTGAATGGTCAATAATAAGTATATGCATATGAAGTAAGCATGAATGAATGAACACGATTTGTTTTGTGTGTGTATATACAAAGATGGTTGTATGGATTGCTGTTTGGTCATAGTTTATTGTACATATCTAAGACCTAATACCCAGTAATTGAGTTATATTTGGTTATGTAGATGTACAAATATTCTTTCTTCCATTTGTATAGTACCAAAATAAAGAATTTACATCATACTGAAAGTATTTACATTTCATAAAGCCCTTTTGTTCACTTTTCTTATTGTGTGTTCTTTATACTCAAATGTACTTTTAAAGGATTAGTTGTGCGTGACCATCATATTGACTATATATATTTCCACAGATGGTTTTTCACTCAATTTGGTATTATGTGATGCCAACTTTTTCATAAAGTTCACCTCATATTTTCTTTGTTTTATTAAAAATGGCTCATATTGTGTGGTATAGAATCATAACTCTTATGAAGACCAACTTTATTTGAAATATTTTTTTCAGTATGTTGAATATGTAATGGAGTAGTGTATAATCACAGGTAATTTATGACTGTGGTGTATATCCAAAGTGTGAAAAGCTTTGCAACAAAGTTTCTGGCTAAAATAAATTAAAATTAAGGCCAATGCAAAATCATAAAGAATGTGTTTGAAGAATATCCGTACTGCAAGTTGGAGTACGTCTTATCATGCTCGGTTACAAATGTGGGTGAAAGCCACTGACATTGTGTCTAGCAGATTATTGGAGAAGAGTTGATTAGTACCTTGAAATAGGACATAACTGCCTCCTTCCAAGCCCTTACCATTCATCCTTCATAATCATCTTTCTGTCTCATTTGATGCTGGATAATTTCTAGTTGAAATGGCATAAAATAATCAGAAACAGTAATCTTTTGGAATGTAGCTTGAAATTGTGATAGGAAGATTGTTAACATGGATACAGTGTATCTAGTGGCATACCTGCTGGAAGTTCAGTTGCCATTTCAAAGTGCAGTTTCCACACACAACCCTTCCATTGAGCTGCCAGGATAGCTCAGTCAGGCTCTGAGTTGGACAGCTGGAGATCAATTCCCGGCAGGGGCAAGAGATTTCTCTCTACTCCACAGTGTCCACACTTCCTCTGGTGCCCACTGACCCTCTAGAGAGTGGGTATGGGGGGCTCTGATTTTCATTTCATGCATCCTGTTGTGTTATAATATATTAAGGTCAGTGCCTGGTTTGGCTCTGCTACATGTTTCGGCTACCAAAAGCCATCATCAGGCAAATACATGGCTAACATATGTACACCAATGAACTGCAGTACTAATAAAATTGGATNCATCTGACAGATTACTGATCAATCAATCAATATTAGTAGTTACTATAGGATTCTGATGATGGTGTATAACACACAGAGATATTGGGTTTTCGGACTTTATCCATCGTCCTGCTTTTTAAGATAACTAAGAAAAACACGACGTTTCGGAAACTGGATCTGTTTCCGTCCTCTTTCTAAGAGACCCAACAGAATAGGTGTTTTCCCTCACCTGAGGACGGAAACAGATCCAGTTTCCAAAGCGTCGTGTTTTTCTTAGTTATCTTAAAAACTAGGACGATGGATAAAGACCGAAAACCCAATATTTCTGTGTACAATGATATTAATTATGATGGCTTTTCATAGCCGAAACATGTAACAGAGCCAAACTAGGCACTGACCTTAGTATTGTTGTGACGGCTTTAATAAAAAAATTGTGTGGGGTGGTCTCTTTCCCTAGGGGGGGTAAAGCTGCAAGGACTGACAATCTACTGCTAAGGTTAAGAATGGTGGAGATAGTACCTCCAATCCCCATATGTCTCATGGTGTGGTGCTCAGTTAATTAAGCACAGGGGCAACTTCACCTGTATCCTTCCACTGAGCCCTTGAAGGACATTTTGAAGTCATGATTTCATGTAATTGATATAATAATAATGGGGTGGGAAGAGCAGCGTTGTAGTACCATCTGATGACACATTGATACCAACAGAAATATTGTAATTTTATTAGTGCAATCTTCTGGTAGGTTTGTAAGTCGCAGATTTATCTTACTTTTGGGTTTTGATGGAAGTGAGAAACTGTCATATTTCTCTGCTTAAGATTAATTACATATAGAGTCAGTGGAATAACTTCTTTGTGATCCTGTGAACTAAAATGTTTACTTTTTTTTTCTTTCTTCCATTCTGTAGACCCCGCCCCATTAAAATGACATTCTAAGCATGCTACTGTCTGTACTGATGTTGATCTCATTACTGGAAATGTATTCTTGAATAAGAGGTGCAAGGCTGTAGGATGGGTGTGGTCATTGCTTATTGGAGGTGGGAAAAAATGAATATAAAGTTGGCCTTGATCTTTTATTGCATATATTTCAGTTCATTTTATAAGAACAGAGACTCTTGTCGCACTTAATAATGTTACTGCATATTTTATATAAATTACATATGTGTTTGGGATGGACAGATGAATGTAAATATTTAAAAATTGTATAGTATTGTTAATAAATAGTATTTTTGTCAGTTTACTCCCCAAAGTCTTAAGTGAAGACATTGACCAAGATTCTTTAATTGTTAGATGGAGGAGGAATTAATAAGTTAACAAACAACAGACTGACCTTCAGTGGTATGGTGATCATACCGAATTCCATGATAATCTGTCCAATGGTTCAGAAACTGTTAGAAGACAGGCATGAAGTATAATGAACCCACTTTCAATTTGT